GAGAGAGAGAGAGAGAGAGAGAGAGAGAGAGAGAGAGAGGATTTGGAGATATTTTAAGCGAGATCGTGGTAGTGATTTTGTCCGACACAAACGGCACTACTTTCACGTCCACGTAATATGTACAGACATTCCCCTTGCATACATGTTATGCTTCGAGATAACGCCTTATACAAATGTGAAATATGTCGAGACATCCCCTTATGCACAAAGAATGGGTATTGTGTCGAGACATCCAATATGTATCGATACATCCTATTACAAACGGGAAACATGTCGAGATATCCCGTTATACACAGGTCATGCGTCGAGACATCCCTTATACAAGGGAAATTGTCGATACATCCTTTTACAAACAGGAAACGTGTGGAGACACTCCCCTTATACACAGGTAACGTGTCAAGATATTTCCCTTTATACACAGGTAATGTATCGAGACATTCCCCTTATATGCAGGTAATGTGTCGAGACATTCCCCTTATACACAGGTAGTGTGTCGAGACATTCCCGTTATACACAGGTAATGTGTCGAGCCATTCCCTTTATACACAGGTAATGTGTCGAGCCATTCTTTTATACACAGGTAATGTGTCGTGACTTTCCCTTTATACGGAGGTAATGTGCCGAGACATTCCCTTTATACAAAGGTAATATATTGAGACTTTCCCCTTATACACAGGTAATGCACAAAAAAATGGGTAATGTGTCGAGACATCCCTTACAAACAGGTAAAATGTGTCGATACATCCTCTTACAAACGGAAAACATATCGAGATATCCCGTTTTACACAGGTAATGTGTCGAGACATTCCCCTTATATACAGGTAATGTGTTGAGACATTCTCCTTATATACTGGTAATGTGTCGAGACATTCCCCTTATACACAGGTAATGTGTCGAGACATTCACCTTATACACAGGTAATGTGTCGAGACATTCCCCTTATACACAGGTAATGAGTCGAGACATCCCCCTTATACACAGGTAATGTGTCGAGACATTCCCCTTATACAAAGGTAATATTCTGAGACTTTCCCTTATATACAGGTAGACTTACACAAATGTCATACAACAGACGTCAGTACCACCGCATTACACCTGGCATGATGGGAACGTTATGTAATGTGCCGAAATGTCCCACATGTTCGACTGAAGTAGACGCAGTTTCATGTCGAGACGTCCCCTCGTGTACATTTGGAGTACCTAGCATTATCTCAGTAAATAATCGAAGAACTATACTTTATTGTACAACGAAGCCCTATGGCAAAGTACCATACAGTTAGTTAAAATAAATATATTGCGTAACGTGTCGAGACGTTCACCTGTATTCAGCTTAAGTATAATCTGAAATGATTTTTAGACGTCCCCATATAGGCAGGTATCAACCCTCGAGCTATATCAGCCCTTGGGCCTCGGCCCCTCGAGCTGATATGGTTGTCTCGGGCTGGTATGTGATACGGAAATGGCCATATGACAACCTCTTACTATTAGAGTGTGACATAATCTTTTGTACCCTTGCTCAGCAATTCACGTTGGAGAAAACAAATGTTGTTCCCTGGACAAGCAGAGTCGAAAATATCTTTATTTTTGTCATAAAATCTTAAATATGTTTGGCAACAATGTACTTAAGTAATAGTTTAATATACTCCTGATAATAAGATTGGAGAATATATGTTATGTACACGTTATATAAACCTTGGTGATGTTGTGTGACAGCCGGATTGCGATCTGACACCTAAAGGAACGGTAGCGACCGCAGCGTCAACGCAATCGGTGCCAATTGCATCCACAGCAATCGACCCCGCAACCAATACTGGAAGCATCGACGTTTCAACTCAGACGGGTTTGTATTTTAACACAGCTGAAGCCTTTAGTAACGTTTCGAGATTTCCCCTTGTACATAGGTAAAGTACCAAAAATAGTACTCACGACCCACCTACGTTTTAACGTACCGAGAAGTCAGGTAAACTTCGAAACAGTTTCTTAAAATATACATATTCTATAATGTGTGAAGACAACACCTTGAACAGGTATGTACCCATACAGATCAGGGGTTTAGAAAAGAAGGTACCTGCTGGTATACCTACTGTATGTCGTAAGAGGCAACTAATGTGGGAATTCTCCGGGGGGGGATTTACTTAGGAACATAAACAAAGCTACCAAAATAAGTCTGCTGTACACATTTCAACATTTCGATTTTTATATTTTCTCTCTTCTTACTTACAACAAGTCTGGTCGTAGGCGTCTTGCTTGGCCATGCCTCACTTTTGGCCTTCGTGTTTATCATTCGCCAAAAGTGGAGAACGCAAGGTGGTCTGTCCCCAGGCCGGTACATACAAAAGTTCTCAAAATGATAGCTGTTATTCACTGATAAACGTTAAGAATTTACGGAGACAATTCAATAAATTATGTCATTAGTATCAGTATGGTATGGTGTATACAGTTTGATCTTCCTCCTTAGCAAACATAACTTAAACGCTGCGCGGTAGTCTCCCCTTGGTATACTAGCGGGGCACTGGAAGATTGCACTACCCAGGGCATTGCTAAATGCATACCGTTTCTAAGAGAGCATTTGCCTTAGTAAAATAAAACAGGTAGACGTCACAGGGACTTAGCTATGGTGAATAGGATGGGTGGTCAATCTGTAATACCTTCTCTTGCTTCAAAAAGCGCCTGTACACTATTGCTTTTGTTGGTTAAAGCATTGTCCTGAATTAACTGGATGTCATTCAACCATTTAACGTTTTTTATGTATAATATTTGTCTCTGTAAAACTAGGCAGTGATATTTTTCATTGTCTTGAACGGTATCTGAACCACAGGCCTATTGGAATTGGGGAAAATGGCATACAAAACTCTTCTGAGATTTTCATTCGTCTTGCAATCACTGACATTTCTTGATTTCTCGACAACAATTGCTTGTTATTAATGCACATCTGGGGTTCAAAGTAATATAACCAGGTTTTATTCCCTGTAAGTAACTCGGAAAGCTTTCCTTAGTCATGATGACGGTACATTTTATGATATTTTAACACGTTTCAAACGTTTGAGCTTTTGATAAGATGTCAGCAAAGGGAGTCCATCTGACACAAAGCTTCTTTAATTTAAAGCCCTTGGTCAGAATGTGATGTGTACTGCCTGCACGCGCACTGTTCTTTAAATGCTTTTGCATTTTGCAAAGGCGCTAAACGATTTTATTGTCCGTTCGCACGGGAGCTGTGTTGTGAGAGAATTTATTGAATGACCCTCGTAATAACTAGTTTACCGGTTTACAGTATAATGTGACCGGTGGAATGTTGTGCCGGGTACTTTCAGTATGGTATTTCGCATCCACGATATTCGGGGTTTTTTTGCACCTTCCCTTCTGCTTCACATTAGTTTAGACTTATTTGGATTTCCACCTATTTGGCCGTTACCATAGCGATGAGTCCTAGAAGGACGGAACAGCTGTAAGGCGCAGTGTAATTTATTAATTTATGACATACTATTACTGTATCAATTACCAGATTTTATAGACACTATCACATGTGTGTGTGTCTTACATTCGTCTTTCAATATACAAGGTGTTATATAGACCCCGTTGGTGGATTGCTTGGTCCCCGAGGTTTACTGTAGCTTATACACTTTTCTTATTGGTTAGAAATTAACCAGCAATCATCTTCTTTTTTTTAAATTCATATAATTTAGGCATTTTATGCACATGCATCTTCCGTTCTGCTTCAACTAGCTTAGGAGGCCAATTTGGATTTCCAGCTTTTTGCCCCCCTAGCATCACTGATGAAACCTAGGACGAATTTTTGGCATATTGCATCAATTACCAATTAAATAGAGGCCATCACATGCGTGTGTCTAAATTTCATCTTTCTATACGGTGTCGAGTCGTCCCCTTGTACGCAGGTTAAGTTCTGTAAATGTCTCACAATAAATGTATTGTGTAATGTGTCAAGACATCCCCTTACTTCAAATGTTTGCTTTGTTATCTTTAGACACAACCCAGTGGCTTGGAGGAACCACGACTCCCGACGTCCTGAACCGGACGTGCAGGTGTCGCGCGTGCTCCTTAGTAACGACCAACTACAGCCAGGAGGAGCTGGAGAGTCTGGTGGCGGAGCTGAGGCAGAAACTACTGGTAAAGCGGGAAGGCACAGCCAAGTACGTGCGGACACTTGTATCTGCCCCCGACAACCGAACCTCCGCCACGGTGGTTGGGTACTTGGCGGGAACTATCCTCGTAACTTTGGCGGTGGGTCTGTTGGTCATAGACAGTCCAAATCTCTTCCGTATGCTGAAGACCATAAAACGCAACCTCTCGTCACCAAGGGCAACAACAAACAAATAAAATGTCTTCAATTTACACCCAGTGTTTCTATAGTTATCATGAACTTTACATCAGTCCCATTTTCAATGTATACTTAGTATTATCAAACGGAATGGAATCGGTGTCGTATTGAAGTTCCGCCTACACCTCCCCGCACAACGTGAAATCATCATAGAAAGCAACCGTTCAGGTGACATTTGGCTGTTCCATGATTTGCACTGACAATACAGATGCATGAAGCCTAGGGTTGTAATATCCATTAGAAATGTGATAGTCGTGTAACCAAGTTGCGGTTATATCAGCATGAATGTTGTTTACATGTAATTCCTTTTCCACCCCAGTATCAGTACAATAATCGATGCGGAAATCGAAACAGAAAAAATAAAATATCAGGGGCTGAAAAGACACCAAAACAAAAATAGAGACAGACTGAAATCAAACCAGAAAGAGCTTGGTTAACCACGTACTGCCGTCAGGATGTTTGTCATCAAATCTGTACAGGAAAATGACGTCCATCCCACAATCCTCCTAGTAAAAGATGAAATCTTTAAGTAAAACTGCCATAACTTGTCCAACAATCATAGCCACAGCATCATTTCATTTGTATAGATCCGTGTTCCATTGTCGACTTTAATGCACCCAAGAGAGCTTTCTCACACACGCCTCATATAATGTTTTCAGACATCCTCGATCCTCAAGGGGTTACGCTCACTTGTAACCGCTCTCTGCAGGGACGTAACCAGGCGTACGCACGGACGCACGGGCTTCCACGTAATTTTTTTAAGTATACTTTTAACAAGGATCACATTGTATAAACTTTATGTGATAAATTTTAACAACTCATATAATCCTGGGCCCTCAGTGAATTCATTATCTCATTGATATTGTTTCTTTTATTGACTATTTAAAGAAAATGTTCCTTGTTCATATGGAACTAATTATTACGCCTTTGAAAAAAAATACTACAAGCCAAATATGAAAATGATAAGTATTTTATTCTCAAACTGCACCAGAATGGGTTCCAGATTCCGAAAAAATCTCGGGGGGTACCCCCCCCCCCCNGCTTCCACATACTCATAGTCCTGGTTACGTCCCTGCTCTGCACCCCTTGAATATGTCAGGGGCACGGCTAGCTATTTCATTGGTCTCGAATAGAAAAAAAGTGACCAATCGCTAGGCTGATATACCTGTCTTCTTAAGATTACAGAGGAATGACACCGGACTTTAAAGTCAATGAATTTTACCGCTTCGCGCCCGCGAAATTCTTTTGGTAAACATTCAAGGATTAATTAAACTAGTCTTCTCTTCTCATCCACAAGGCGGCGCACACCAAACCCTCGATTTTGCTATGACATATTACAGGGGTGCAGAGAGTATGACTGAGCATAACGCCTGTAGTATCTAGAGCGGTTTTCAGAATGAGTTGGAATAGAAAAATATATTGTAATAACCGCTTAGCGTGTGATGCAGTTGTTTATTGGTTTACCGTCATATTGCAATATGCACAGCTATTGGGGTATATAGCTTACATTTTTAAATTTAAATGAACTTGAGCTTAAGTGAAAAAGCACGTCTTTGTTGAAAGTGTATCAAGTATCTTTACGGGTAGTGTATAAAGTAATATCTTTATTGATGGTGAATATAGTAATGATTTTTTATTAATAATATGTCAAGTAGTCTTTATAATGAAAATTTGTCAAATAATATCTTAGTTGATAGTGTTTAAAGAATTTTTTTCCTTATAGTGTATCAAGTGATAGTTTACTGGTAATACGAAATGTTGTATTTCGCTATGTAATTTGTTATCAATTTTTAGCGAAATTATCTTACTAGTATTTAACCAGGGTGACACACTCCCCTCCAGAAAAGAACTCGCCCCGAGTTTTCCAGGGGTCATAGCAATTCCTTTGCAAGCATCGCCGAGTATTTCTGTCGTATCTCCCGGGTCCCTACGTGGGCACCAATGTAACAGAGGTTATTATTGTTTACAATGTCTCCGCTAGGAGTCGAACCCGGAACCTGTGGCTTACTGGTCTTACACTCTATCGAATGAGCTAGAGAGAAATTCTTCCTAGTTGAGTCGGTAGGAAGTGGCTAGTATTCTACTAGGATGACAAGTAAAATAACTTAAGTTCACATTTTTTGACAATGTATTGAATATACCGATTTCTAACGGAAGTTCGTTAACTGTCCTCATCATTCGAAATACTCCCGAGTCACAAAAGTCCCAGCGGTTTAACGCTGAGGATGATTATATATTGCGCTCGTTTCTCACAACCGTACGTATAGTGTTTATCTTTCTTCATAGCAGTTTTCCATTAAAATGTCATTTTGTGTCTGTTCCGGATTTCAGGTTTATATTCAATTGCTATACATGTTTATCTGTTGTGAACAATAAAATATATTCGATCTTTCTCTTCTGTTTGTTTGTTACTGAAATAGTAGACAATATCACTTCGATGTAATGTTCTCATTCCGCTCAGTTTGGTCCCCTTGTTCATCACCGTTTTCTTTCTTTATAACTGACCTTCGTAACAACCCATCTAGCTCTATATTGTGCCAAATTTTGAGAAACAAAATTTATTTTAATGGAGACATCATAACGAGGTTTTAAATTAGATTCGCAAAAATATAAAAAAAAAAAACCTAATTTACACCGCCCCATTTGCAAATCGCAGTGAATTGAACACCATTATAAACTTCTGTGATCCACATTTGATAATTAAATTGTCAGGAGAAACTACATTTAGTTCTTTGATTTATACCGAAAACAGCGTCAAAATTGTTCAAGAAATAACTTCGCAGCAATTATTATTGCAAGAGAAATACATGAATAGAAAAATTAATTTATATAATATATTATATATGCAGTTTTGTGTGTTTCATGTAAGAAGTGCCGTTTTGAAGTAAACACTATTTTAAAACACCTTATGCATGAACGCTTTAAATGTATTCAATTGTATGATAAATATATATGCGTTTCCGGAATTTTAATTATTGATTGTTTTGTTTATTATATTTCCTCCTAAAACCGGAAGCACGTGTATGAAGTGTTGTGTTTACAGTTTTGCTGGTAAGTCGATGTTTCATCTTCAGTTAGAACCAAACAGATATGGTGGTCAAGCATACAACATGTTCTGTAATATGTCATTGAGTTCTCAAATTTGTATAATAACAGTAGCTGTGAAATTATCTCGTTTTTATTTCTTTTTGAAATGATTAGATCTTGACACCGTGGTTGGAGCACACTTGCAGATTTTTAGAGGAGATGATGTTCTGCACATGTGGCAAAACGCATCTTCTATTGACTAAAGTCAGGGGTAAAAATATATTTACAAAACCCTGATGATCTCATGACAAATTCACAAGGGACCTGCATATTATCCAGTGATCAGCCATTAGGAGATCAACCGTTTGGGTCCTCCTTCTAAAACAAATCTCCAAGTTTGGTAGGGAGATACCGAAGATGACCAATGATGTCATTGAACTCTTGCTCAGCAGGACATCTTGCCGTTATGTCTTAATTTCTGTCTGACAGATATCCCACAAAAGAGCCGAGCTATCATACAATTGAAATCCTGTTCAAGTTAAGAAATTCCTCACAATTTGTTCAGTATTTATGATACTAAAACTCTCATGTACAAGTTTAAAGCGATTAAATCATGGGTCCCTAGAGTTTTAAACAGCTGTCGCCAATACCAACAGTATTGCATGGTGACAGGTGTTTTTACTGTCTATAGATGAGATATTTTGCGATAAGACATTTCTAAAATACTTCAAATCTTTTGATACTTGCAGAATGATAATAAAGTTTATTTACAGTTTTGTTTTAAATATTTTTATTTTGTGATGTCAATTTAAAATTCTGAATCGAGAATTCATGGTCGAGGCATCTGCTCCACCATTACTTCCTATCCAGGCCACCCAGTCTCTACCCAAGAAGATGGTGGTGAGTACCTGGTTTGTATATAAGGGCATCAGACATGTAGGTAACGCCTTATAAGTTGATACATGTACTAACACTTGCCATATATAGATAATACCTTTCAGTTTGACCATCACATGCGTAAAAATGTGATGTACTATTTGATGGGTGTCTCATGTTGACAGGGCAGAAGCAATGGTAAAGAGGTCTGAAATTGTTTTCTTCTTATAAAACATCTTCATGTATACACATGCACATTTTGTTTGTGTTCATTATTCACACTTTTATCTTGTAGTTGAATCAACAGAATGGTGAGAAAAAAGATTGACAATCGCTTAAGGATCCTAATAGAAAATGGAGTGGCGGAGAAGCATCGCTCCATGTTTGTGGTTGTCGGTGATCATGGCCGAGACCAGGTACTGATGTAGCTACAGTTCTTGTCACAGAAAACACCAAGTTTTGAAAAATATGTTGAAGATATAAATGTCTTGAAATTGATTCTGACTCAAAAATGTTTGTTATAATGAGCTTGGACAATGTTGATAGATATATTTTTCATAGTTCAAAAATAGTTATTTGGTACACACTGTAACACAGTTTCATTCAAGAGACTTTTTTCATTGTAAAATGAAGCCTTTTTTGTATCAAACAGTTAGTACTGTTACTGTAATTTTAAATCACATCACTAATGTATTTCTTTATTTATCTCAGACTATACATAAGATCAAATCACCGATGATGTATACTTATGAACAATGTCATATATGTTTTGTCTTGTCTTGTAAAAAAAAAAATCAAAACAAACATCACTGATGATGGATTTTGTTGATATATTCTTCAATCGTATACAAAAGTTACATCTGACTGTCTTCATGTATTTCTTTATCTTGGTCCATTAATAAGATCCCATTACATTTGATATGTGTTGTTTATTTTAGACTGTTGATAATGTTACACATCACTGTTGTTTTAATCTATCCTAGATTGTTATCCTTCACCACATGCTGTCCAAGGCAGTAGTTAAGACCCGACCAACTGTTCTATGGTGCTACAAGAAAGAACTAGGATTTAGCAGGTTGGTATAGGGCAACTACCTAGTAATACTTGCCCTATTTGCCCAAGATGAGTCTGGTAGGGAGTGGGGGGATAGAGGTAGAATGATTACAGAACTTTTCCCCCAAATTTAAATCAATTTATACACATGAATTGTTATTTTCAAATATGTCTACAGATCTGTAAAACCATGTGAACAAAGGTGTGACAGGGCTAGAAATGATTTTATTATATTAAATTTTAAAACCACTAATCAGTTAGGCTAGTAGTTTCCAATTTCACTAGCCTTGTGCAAATTCCGCTAACCCAATTTCACTTGTGTCAGACTATCGACCTACACTTATTGACAAGCCCTGGGTGAGCTTAATTTTAGATATTTGCTTAATCACCAATAAAATATAAACATGATTTTGTAAATAATTTTCTTTTGTCAAATTTCATCTTAAACAAAGTATTCAAAACAGTCGTGAACCATTTTGAGTCCTGGACTTGCGTTCTAGATGATGGATATGATTCAGATCTATGATTTTAACTACCAGTACTTGTTTTTAAGGGATACATGTAGGGATGAGTTAATCTTGGGTATAGCCTTATCATATGTTTTCTTTGTCTCTAAACATTTTCTTCAGGTTGGTAAGTATGGATTATGAAAAGTTCTTTTTACACAACTAATAAAATGTTCTATGTGATTTGATGACTAGTACAGTATGTACACTGTCACCTTCATCAGACAAATGACCAGTGAAGCGTATGCACACAAAGGTGTATGACCAAGTATTTTGGAGGAGTTTTGTTAAGTTCTGTCAAATTAAGGGATTGATCCTCCTACTGAGGACTGGTTAACAACGAAGTTCTTTTTACACAACTAATAACATTTTTTATGTGACTTTCCAATGACTAGTACGATATAGCTTCATCAGACAAATGGCCAGTGAAGCGTATGCACACAAAGGTGTAAAATGTGTACGAGTTGTGTTTTCTAAAATTCTTTGTATTCAATATACATTGTATTCAAGATGTGAAGTTAGCAGTATCATGTATTTGTTTTAGTCACAGAAAAAAGAGAATGAAACAGATACAGAGGAAGATCCGGAGCGGTAAACTAGATGTGAAGGAGGACGATCCGTTTGAGCTGTTTGTATCCTCGACAAACATCCGCTACTGTTACTACAATGAGACACACAAGATACTGGGTAGCACGTACGGGATGTGTATATTACAGGTAATTCACAGGAAGACTTCTTCAGGTGTTTGTGTTGGAGTTTGTCACTAGTCTGCTCTCAGGACCCCATGCCATTTTCTTTCTTAATTTTACTTCTTTGGGTTGTGTTTTAAACAATTTAGTAAAAAAAAATTGAAATTTGAAATTCTTGATAAACAGAATTGAACATGATACTAATTCAAATAGAATCCAACCTCATTATCATATTGTCTGATATCACAAATAATCTGTTACTGTTAGAGTTGTCTTAGCAGTTTTATTATAAACCCTGGTGCTGTATAGTGTAATAACACCATTACAATCTCGGGCTGCTACACTAACAGTTTGTATTATGTCACAAGGAACAATACAATAACATGACAAAATCATGGCACACAAACAGAAATGGTGGTGTTTGACTATTTTCCCTTTAACTTTTCAAGTTAAAATGTGTTCAAATTGGCACAAATATATATGCTTTGGTTCAGAATATGATAACCAAATCTCAAACTTAATTCCATTCCATCTGTCTAGGAAACTCACTTAAAGTTCATTATATTGGGAACTAGTTTTGAGATCCTCTATATCTACAAATTTATATGCACTTTAACTCACGTTTGTTTGTTTGAGTGGTATTACGCCGCTTCACTACAGAGTAGTTTGGTTATCCAGGCGATGACAAATCACAAACATCAATCATAAATGTACCATGTTTATTAAGAAGTTTTTTGTCCCAACAATAAGAACCAATGTTTGACAATATTGTGATTCCTCCTTGGTGGTTTAGTACACAGCCCTGGTCATGTTCCTAGTACAGACCCTAGTATTACCTGTTGAACTGATAGAAATTGTTACTTTGCAGGACTTTGAAGCTCTCACTCCCAACCTGCTGGCCAGGACTGTGGAGACGGTGGAAGGGGGAGGGGCTATTGTCATCCTTCTACGGACCATGAAATCTCTCAAGAAGCTCTACACAATGACAATGGTACAGTAATCTCTGCTTGTATACCCCCTATGAAATTATTCATATGTAAACTCCAGGAAGTAAAGCACGACAACTAAGGATAAGAGAATTCACCATTACCCTAGAAGCAAATTTACTCCAAGCATCTTCATGATAGCAACTTTGTACATAACATACTTCTGTGACTCGAAACTTGCAGATAACCAAATTTTGATTTTTGAAAAATCACTGTTTTTGTATAAATATTTTGGGCAAGTCTTTAACATAAATTTGAAATGTTGATTAGTCTCGGAGGGGAAAACATGAGTCCAGGAATTAAGTTATTTCAGTCCTTTTCATGTCAAGGCAATTGGAATCATATCCCCAAGTAATGTTTTGGTCAACCAAGAGAGCTGTTTTCCTCTGTATTTTGCCACAAGAAATAGTTCCCTGGGTTTGAGGATATCATTTTGACTGTTTCATGAAAAGGGATGAAGTAACTGTATTTTGTTAAATGTATTTCTAGTCAATGTTTTAATAATGGCACAACAGATACGTTTATGATACAGAATTATACATGAATGTCCCCTTAACCCTTTCACCACTATGTAACTTTAGTAGACTCTACCATGCATTGATATGGATGAGTCCATTATGGTCTACAGTGTTGAAAGGGTTAAAGTTTCTAGTGTCGAAGTATTACTCTACCTGGAAGCCAAATCTGTATTTACTATTTATTCCATCATTGTAGTACAGCATTGAAAGTATTTTTTTGTCCTAATTGTTTGAAATCAGAACCAAGAATAATAGCTTGCAGGATTTTTTTTCAAGATTTTGAAGTTTTTATATGTATTGTTAAATATTTCAGGATGTCCACGCAAGATACAGAACTGAGTCGCACCAGGATGTTGTTGGCAGATTCAATGAAAGGTTTGCTGTCTACAGATGCTTATCAAATATATCATGATCATAAAAATGGCATTTTTGTAATCCAAATCTGTTAAGTTGGGAAAAAGTTGCTTTCCTGTTAATTTTGAAAACCTTCTTTTTCTTTTTTATAAAGGAAAGAAAGCTTGCTCCATCAATCCTCCTGATTTCAAGTTTATTTCTACTGTTTTTTTCACTGGAAAATGAATACATCTAATGTCCCTTGTATAATTAGATAATAACTAAATATGTTGGATTAACATAATAAATCTCACAGGCATAGTCTACAGAGAAAATGGTGATGAATAATGGTTTGTACATTAGATTTGAGTTCATTATTAATATATTCTTCACCATCGATAATTTGAAGAGCAAGGGGTTCAGTCCTTGGAATGGGAGTGAAATAAATTATTACCAAATTTATCCAGTACACTTCTTAATTTCTAAATTAAAAATCATCCAGGAAATCTTCATCTCATATAAACTAACATTCTAATAAACAGTTGAAATTTGAAAATATGAAGATAATTATATAAATGCTGCAGAAATTATGTAGAGTTGGACTTTATCTATTGTTCACTGTTTTAATTTGTCAGGTTTCTACTGTCGATGATGTCCTGTAAGAACTGTATGGTGATAGACGACCAGTTTAATCTTCTCCCACTCTCGTCTCACATAGTCAACATACAGCCCGTACCATCTAAGTCACTGGTGAGTCTAAATAACTGTCCTCTCACAGACACAGCCCGTACTATCTAAGTCACTGGTAAGTCTAAATAACTGTCCTCTCACAGACACAGCCTGCACCATCTAAGTCACTAGTAAGTCTAAATAACTGTCCTCTCACAGACACCGTCTGTACCATCTAAGTCACTGGTGAGTCTAAATAACTGTCCTCTCACAGACACAGCCTGTACCATCTAATTCACTGGTAAGTCTAAATAACTGTCCTCTCACAGACACAGCCCGTACCATCTAAGTCACTGGTGAGTCTAAATAACTGTCGTCTCACAGACAACATACAGCTCGTACCATCTAATTCACTGGTAAGTCTAAATAACTGTCCTATCACAGACACAGCCCGTACCATCTAAGTCTAAAGAAATATCGTCTCGCAGACAACATAGGGTCCATGTTGGCGTAATCAAAAACTCGCCTCCGATTGGAAGTTTTCATTCAATTCCATGTTACCTCTGACAAGTTTGCATGTCAACAATTTTATTTCAGCACTACAGCATCACAACCAGACAGGATACTATTACAAAACTGTACATATTGTCAGTGACATCAAATGAAGACTAGCTAGGCACACGTGCATATACTACTTCAGTGCGAAGTGGTCAAACAAACAAAAGTCAATCAAAACACTTACTTGTAATCAAAAGCAAAATTAGGTTAAGAATCAAGTAACATTCTCAGAATAATACTTTTTGTGTCGCTTCAGCGACATATAGGAATTACTTTGTCGTCGTCGTCAGTTACTTCGTCCGAAACAAGGTTTCCGTGTGATAACTTTAATTCCCTTTGGTTGATTGAATTCAAACATGGTACTCATATTTCATACCAATATAGCTCGGACGAGTTTGCATGCATTTCGGAAGTTTACATGCATTTTTAGTGGAGTTATGCCCCTTTTATTGCCAAATTAGGGCATTGTGTAGTAAATGCAAGAACTTTTTTTATTTTTTTGATCAATTATTTTACGATAATGCTTGAAGTACTAATGTTCAACATATATTACGTGTTTTTCTGTTGAGTTTCAACTTTCCGCGTTTTGGCATATCACACTTGACATAGCAACGCTGTTCATCGTTTTAGCAGTTAATTTTTGCTTGTTAACGCTAAAAGCGCTGAGCAGTCAACACATTCACTCCTGTAGAATTCTTGTTTTTGTTAATAGTGTTTAAAGTTTGTAGGATATTTTCACTGCAGAATTATATTGAAATTCTTTGTCCAAAGTTTAATTCCATAACACACAAGTCAGAGACAAAGTTGGAGGTCGGCAATTTAGATTAAAATGAATTGCAGTAAAACTGAAATACAAACTCACTTTAACACCAGCCCTCAATTTTGCTAAATCTTTTTTAAAACTCCCTCGGTGGGGGATCTTGATGCCTGTGACCTTGTTTCTTATACAGGAGGATGAGTTGTCCCCAGAACTGCAGGAGTTACGGACCCTTAAGGAGTCGCTACAGGACACACAGCCTGTGGGAGCACTCATCAACACATGTAAAACACTTGACCAGGTGAGGCACCCTCATTACATCCTCAATATCCCCTCGATGCCAAAAGATTAACCAGTCAAGTTAACCTGTCAATCAGACATATCACAAACTCAACAGTATATGTGTTATGGCTTTGACTAAGTATGGATGATGATAAATTCAGACACTCTAGAAGATTTAACAACTGATTTTCCAAAATATATATTATGACTGTATTGAAAATGGATTTCTCTTTATAAGTGTATTAAACATTCATAACTCAAGATATTTTTGTCACATTTAATTAAACAGGTTTGTTTATTCTTTTACTGATTGTTGAGTGTGATTAATTACAAAGATGTTTATAAAAAAAGAATCATGAAAGCATCAATGTTGTTAAATGACTTTGTTTCACAGGGAAAGGCTTTATTGACGTTTGTTGAAGCCATTTCTGAAAAGACGTTGCGGAGCACAGTTGTAATGACTGCAGCAAGAGGACGGGGAAAGTCAGCAGCCCTGGGACTAGCTATAGCCACTGCTGTAGGATTCGGGTAAAGGTTTTATCTTCGACTTGATACGGCTCTAATTTCTCTCTCTAGAATAACCTTTACTAGTGTCAGCAAGCAATTGGTTGGCTAGATACATTCCTTGCTAATTGGTAGGGTAGGAGACCCGTACAATTTTCAATCCGATCCAGGAATAAAACCCTGGCTGTCTTGGTGACAGACAAGTATGTTATCCACTATGCCACCTGACCACCCTGAAGTAAAAGCTTGTTTTAACCATGTACTGACTTCATATAAACTTTGCTTGAATTGACTTATCAGAATTAACTATCTCAATATACCTGGTAATCTAGTTCAAACTTATTCAAATTCATTAAAGTTGAATGCAAAAATACCTTTAAATTTTTTCTGACCTCACTCAAGTTATAAGTGGGTGCAGGTATGTTTGAATCGAATATCAAAACATAGCTCTGTATAAAAAAGGCATAGAAAATATTATTAATGAAACTGTTTTATTTTTTATTCACTAATTAATACTTTTATTTATTTATTTGTGTTTTTAATTTGTTAATTAATATTGTTATTCATTTTGTAGGTATTCAAATATATTTGTCACCGCTCCAAGTCCAGAAAATCTGAAGACCGTATTTGAATTTATTTTCAAGGGATTTGATGCTCTAGAGTACCAGGTGAGTTACCCATATATAGAAAGCTAGTATTTTACAAATCAACAGGCATTTGATAAGAACAAGATAGAGTGTAATTACAGACACGACCAGTTATGACTTAACATGTATTAAATGCTGCATGTTACTTGTCATGATTTTTTTGTTTTCCAAATTTACAGGAGCACTTAGATTATGAGATAATCCAGTCTACAAATCCTGAGTTCAACAAAGCTATTGTACGAGTGAACATCTTCAGGGAACATAGGCAAACAGTTCAGGTAAGATACCAGACGTAAACGTGGGGAAGTCCACCCGTCCTCAGTAAGTACAATCATCACTAGTAAGACCATGCTAAAACTAGATATATAAATACATATAACCGACAACAGTACAACTGAATAACAAACTAAAAAAACAGCATTAACAGAAGTGATAGGGGAGGGGGGTTTAAACAACAGAATGATCTTTACAATCCAATATTGACCCAACTATGGAGCGATAGTTTCGGCCTCTGATAACAAGTTGACTTCCGCACCAAAAGCAAGTACTTGGTAATTCTGTTACTGTCGAGCCACTTGTAACTGGCGGATGAGTGAACATCAAATTGTTCCACTGCTGACAGTCTTATTCTTTTGTGATCTATCCTCATGCAGCGTATTCATTAGGTCACTAATACCTTTAGCTAGACAGATGTATCAAGTCAATACAGAAACAAAGTGTCAATACATGTTCTACTGTTCGTGGAAAAAGAACATTTAACATCTTTTTAACTTATCTGTCTAGAATCCTGTTACGCTATATTGGTCCACATAGATCACACGACATAATAAAGTCTAAATTCTGTCAGTAGTGCTGACCAGATATTAGCTCAGCATCGATTGTGACATCACCATTACCAAACACATCGTTTTACTGTGACTTCTTAATAAAGATCCATGTAAGATTAGTACCCCATCTTCTCAAACCTTCATAGGAGAACGATGTCAATATATGTGTACTGAAGTACAGTACATGGTCGCTAGTTATTTGTTTATGGAGAGTTATACTCACAGGGACTTGACACGTTCCTATGACCCAGAATGAAAAAATAAAAAATGTCCCTGTGGTTATACTGACTGGATATAATATTAATCTAGTAAGTGAGGTTGGTCTATCTACACGATGTATGATTCTATTTTACAGTATATACACCCAGGAGATTCCCATAAGTTGGGACAGGCAGAGCTGGTGTGTATTGATGAAGCTGCAGCCATCCCTCTGCCGTTAGTAAAAAATCTCCTAGGACCCTACTTGGTTTTCATGTCGTCTACAGTCAATGGGTAAGCTGTTTATATGTCTACCTTAATAAAGCATTGTTCTCTGTGGTAAAAAGTATACAACATCATTTGTACTCCTCATTGATTGAAGTTTTGTTGTCATGCAAATGTCATTAAGAGTTTGTTGTCATGGATATGTTAATATTCACAATTTTGTTGTCGCGGAAATGTACTGAATCAGTTTTGTTGCCATAGATATGAGGGAACTGGTCGGTCACTATCACTCAAACTGGTTCAACAGCTCCGACAGCAGTCTGCTACCTACGGTGGGACATCCAAGGAACTACAGAGAACTGCCAACATGACCTCCAAGACAGATTCCGTCTCCTCAGCATCAGGTAGTGTTGACTATGATGTCGTTTGAGTTTATACAACGATTTTATCAGTTTTACAATGACATTTTTTCTTTCACATGATCCATGGTTGGACAAAATAACTATATAAAAATTATGATAAAAGATAAATTGTGCTTTTTCTTACTGAAATTTTGTTTATCCACATCCAAATCTGAGGGAAAGTCAGAGAAAGTCGTCACACAATTCTGATTTAATGAAGAGAAAGAAATGTCAACATTTGGGATGATTGTCCAAAACAAGTGTGTTATATGATAGTGAGTTTTGGACATGTAATATTGCCCATGTTCTGAGATTGTCTCCCTTTCATAGAGATGATTTATATTGTTAACCTGAAAGGCCAAGTGAGCTTATGCCATGGTGCAGTGTCCGTCCGGTGACAACTTTCTACTTTAAATGACTTCTTCAGAATCACCAAGAGGTCATGATGTTTGACCAGTAGCTTCATGTTATGATTTGGTACAAAGTGTGGGATTTGAATGAGTGACCTAAACCAACTTTGGAGGTCAGATGGTGAAAATCAGTTTAAATTGTCCAAGAAAGACTCTTAATGTGTAGAGTTCTATGTAATATAATCTTCCAACTTAGACCCATAATGTAAGGAGTGATGATACTTGAAGGTCACAGATCTAGATGTGAGATGAATAACAGGTGAGCGATACAGGCCCATTGGGCCTCTTGTGTTAGTGATAAGTGTGAAAAAAACACATTTGATCAATGTTCAAAAAATGAAGAGATTTTATTAGGAAATGTGTTTTATTTGACAGTTATTATGCTGACTGACCTTGACAAGGCCCAGTTATAATTGTTTTTTCCAGATTGTATTTTACCATACACTCTATTTCCACAGGTCGTGTTTTACATGAGGTTGTACTGAATGAGTCCATCAGGTACGCCAACGGTGACCCGGTGGAGAAATGGTTAAATGACCTTTTGTGTTTGGATGCGACGTCTGTTCCACGAATAACGTCAGGCTGTCCTCTACCAGAGACATGTGACCTCTATTATGTTAACAGAGATACCTTGTTCTCCTACCACAAGGCATCAGAAGCCTTCCTCCACAGGATCATGTCCCTCTATGTCTCCTCCCATTAGAAGGTACGTTGTATAGTTCAGTCAGGAAGCCTACCTCCACAGGATCATGTACCTCTATGTCTCCACCCATTACAAGGTATGTTGTATAGTTCATGGCCTTCTATGTCACCCAAATTATATGGTCAGTTCTAGAAGTTTGCCTGTCCCATTCCAAGGTAAGTTGTATAGTTCCGTCTGGAGACCTACCTCCACATGATCATGTCCCTCTATGTCTCCACCCATTACAAGGTATGTTGTATAGTTGAGTCTGAAGCCCTACCTGCACAGGATCATGTCCCTCTATTTCTCCTCCCATTACAAGGTACGTTGTATAGTTCATGCCCTTCTGTGTCACCCAAATTATATTGTCAGTTCTAGAAGTTTGCCTGTCCCATTCCAAGGTAAGTTGTATAGTTCAGTCTGGAGGCCTTACTCCACAGGATCATGTCCCCCTATGTCTCCTCCCATTACACGGCAAGGTGTATAGTTCAGTCTGGAGACCTACCTCCACAGGATCATGTACCTCTATGTCTCCACCCATTACAAGGTATGTTGTATAGTTCAGTTAGGAGGCCTACCTCCACAGGAGCATGTCCCTCTATGTCTCCGCCCATTACAAGGTATGTTGTATAGTTCAGTTAGGAGGCCTACCTCCACAGGATCATGTCCATCTATGTCTCCTCCCATTAGAAGGTACGTTGTATAGTTCATGCCCTTCTGTGTCACCCAAATTATATGGTCAGTTCTAGAAGTTTGCCTGTCCCATTCCAAGGTAAGTTGTATAGTTCCGTCTGGAGACCTACCTCCACATGATCATGTCCCTCTATGTCTCCTCCCCTTACAAGGTAAGTTGTATAGGTCAGTCTGGAGGCCTTCCTCCACAGGAGCATGTCCCTCTATGTCTCCTCTCATTACAAGGTAAGTGGTATAGTTCAGTCTGGAGGCCTACCGCCTCAGGATCATGTCCCTCTATGTCTCCTCTCATTACAAGGTAAGTGGTATAGTTCAGTCTGGAGGGCTACCTTCACAGGATCATGTCCCTCTATTTCTCCTCCCATTACAAGGTACGTTGTATAGTTCAGTCTGGAGACCTACCTCCACAGGATCATGGCCCTCTATGTCTCCTCCCATGACAAGGTAAGTTGTATAGTGCAGTCTGGAGGCCTACCTCACAGGATCATGTCCCTCTAGGTCTCCTCCCATTACAAGGAAAGTTGTATAGTTCAGTCTGGAGGGCTACCTCCACAGGATCATGCCCCTTTATGTCTCCTCCCATTACAAGGCAAGTTGTATAGTTCAGTCTGGAGGCCTTTCTCCACAGGATCATGTCCCCCTATGTCTCCTCCCATTACAATGTAAGTTGTATAGTTCAGTCAGGAGGCCTACCTCCACCGGATCATGTCCCTCTATGTCTCCGCCCATTACAAGGTATGTTGTATAGTTCATGGCCTTCTGTGTCACCCAGATTATATGGTCAGTTCTAGAAGTTTGCCTGTCCCATTCCAAGGTAAGTTGTATAGTTCCGTCTGGAGACCTACCTCCACAGGCTCATGTCCCTCTATGTCTCCGCCCATTACAAGGTATGTTGTATAGTTCAGTCAGGAAGCCTACCTCCACAGGATCATGGCCCTCTATGTCTCCTCCCATTACAAGGTACGTTGTATAGTTCATGGCCTTCTGTGTCACCCAAATTATATGGTCAGTTCTAGAAGTTTGCCTGAATGAAGTCTATATTTTACAAAGTATTAATAGTAAGCTAATTATCTAAAAGAAAGTTCTAAATCTTTGCCGAATTGATGCAGCAGTCCTTACACTAATTAGATAGGTAATGCTTTCTGAACTTTGATTTATAGTGATTTGTGTAATTTGATCTATAATGATTTGGGGTTGATAATTATTTGTGGAGTTTGATTATGATGATTTGTGGAGCTTGATTTGTAGTGATTTGTGGATAGTAGATTATAAGATGAAGCCTTGTTACAGAACACTCCCAATGACCTACAGCTGCTGTCAGATGCCCCAGCTCACCATATATTTGCTCTTCTGGGTGGGATCAACCCCGACCAGTCGTCCCTTCCTGAGGTCCTCTGTGTGGTACAGGTAAGCTGATCCAGCACATCAGTAAATTTATAGACAGTATCTTATCAAACAAGAGAATTTCCCCAAGGATCCCTTTGATACCAACCAATGAATAATTTTCACCCTACAGTTTACCTGATAAATGATACAAAGATACATTTGCTTTAAGTTTACTCAAGTAGATTATGATATTAAGATTATTTAGTTCACTCAAGTAGATTATGATATATTATTTGTATTTTCTATATTGTTGTTTTTGTTTACTGACAGGTAAGTCTGGAGGGAGAGATATCCAAAGCGACCATCATGAACAGCTTGTCTCGTGGTGAGAGGGCCTCCGGAGATCTCATTCCATGGACGGTCTCTCAACAGGTAAGCACATCATTCCATGGACGGTCTCCCAACAGGTAAGCACAAAATTCCATGGACGGTCTCTCAACAGGTAAGCACATCATTCCATGGATAGCCTGTCAACATTTAACTCATTTACCCCTGAAGACGCATTTAAACTCTTCCAATTCAAAGGTTGGAATAGTTCATTATGAAATTTCAAACACAAGATTGCTTGCTGTTAATCTAAATGAGTAGTGCCTACTGTTGATTACCTTTTGTACATTGACAATACTCCTCTCACAAACTTCTGACCTGTGAATTGCCTCCTAGGTTTTTGTGCTAATGGTAATCACTCTGTAGACTGGCTTAAACACTGGTGGAGACTTGGTAACCACTCAATGAACCTTTTTTTCTTCTCGGCATTGAAACTGTAACAACCTCGATGGTCAGTTTTGTAGAATCTTTAAGACAAGCGAATTCTTGATCGTGTGACTTACACATCCCATTTTTAACTGGCCTGAAATGATTCTAGCAAAGCCAATGTGAATATGATCATGATTTGATTTTGACAATCACATATATTTGTTTAATAGAGAAAAATGAAGAAAAATGCATGTATCTTTATATTTTGTCACGTATATCAAGACCATATTTTGCCCTTGTTGTAGATTTGGCCTTTTGGCCCTTGCAATAGAAGGCCAATTAAATCAGATGCAAAACATTATGAATCATAGATAATAAGGACAGTAGTTTTTAAACATTCAGAGGGCAAATTCAACACTAAATTTGAACTCAGTTTAGAAATTTTACAGTTTACAATAACTTGTATATATTTATAAAGACCATACTTTCTGTGAGACAGTTTATCATGTTTGTAATATCCATGCAAGTTACAGTCTTTACTTTTATCTCTCTAATTATGTACATATTCTCTACATTGACTTTAATCAAGTAAATTTCTTTCACAGTTCCAAGACCATGACTTCCCCGGATTGTCTGGTGGGAGAATTGTAAGGATAGCTACTCATCCAGATTACCAAGGGGTAAGTTTATATCAGATTACCAAGGGGTAGGTTTATATCAGATTACCAAGGGGTAGGTTTATATCAGATTACCAAGGGGTAGGTTTATATCAGATTACCTAGGGATAAGTTTATGTCAGATTACCATTGAAGAGGTAAATTATATCAGATTACCAGGGGGTACGTTTATATCAGATTACCAAGGGGTAGGTTTATATCAGATTACCAAGGGGTAGGTTTATATCAGATTACCTAGGGATAGGTTTATATCAGATTACCTAGGGGAAAGGTTATGTCAGATTACCAAGGGGTAGGTTTATTTCAGATTACCAAAGAGTATGTTTATGTCAGATTTCCCAGGGTTAAGTTTAGATCAGTTTAATTTAAATGATAGTTCTGTTTTACATAGAAATAGGCAAAGACAATCATGTTACCAAGATTGGCTCTGAAATCTGGCCCAACACCTGAGGACTTAATCCCTGGGGCACATGAAAACAGTTGAGATCCTAGCCCAATAACCGTAAATACAATTGCTGCAAGTGAACTTACATATTGTTCTCTCCATTTAAAAATGGGTGTTTCATATCTTTTTCTTATGTTAAGTTTATTAGTTGACATGATTCAATATTCTTGAATACTTGTGTGCGTAGATGGGGTATGGTACCCGGGCTATGACTTTACTGGAGAAGTACTACGAGGGGAACATCCCAAACCTGTTGGAAACTGTGGAGGAAACAGAAACGGAGATCTCCACTGTTGGTGATGAGGTAAGATGACCATTGATTTCTCTGGAATTCATTTCATGTATCTAGTTCTGAAATAATGACCTGATCTTGTCCCTAATTACAAGGTTGTTCAGTATTAGATAAAGTTATATTAAATTGTTCATACTTATGTTAGTGTTATGATATGAAATCTTGGTATTTGATACTGAATTTGGACAATGTGTCACATTGTATTATTCAAAATTGAATTCAGCAATAACAAGTCTGAATGATTTTGAAGTTTCTGAATACAAAAGCCATCAATGAATAAAAGAATTTGAAAATGAAAGGATCTGTATTGGAAACATCGACCGATTCTTTTCAAAAGGTTGTCTTGAATTTTTCTGCCATACACTTGTTTCAAATGAACTATCCATGTGTTTGACAGGATGTGAATTTATTGGAAGAAAGAATTAAACCTAAGAAAAACCTGCCACCACTGTTGCTAAAATTGAGTGAGAGAAAACCTGAAAAACTGGATTACCTGGGTGTGTCTTTCGGACTTACAGCTAATCTACTCAAGTAAGCCTGCAGTTAGGACCGGTAACACTTTTCTGTACACATCAATATATTAGCGGTGATAATTACTTACAGGTATCCTCTCTAGTCATTCTGGAGTGAGGTCCTAAAAAATAGTTCCGTCCTACATTGCGTATTAGGCATTCCTTCTCTTATTTAAAGTCTGCTGGTCAGACTCAGAAAACGAATCTGTACAAGTTTGTGGGTTTCTACTTGTAAGATGGGCATTACATTCTGTAGTTCATAGAAATAAACCTTTTTATCACATAATGTACTGTGTTATCCAGTGTATATACCCATGTCATATATGTTTGTGTAGTAATATGACCTATCAGCCGTGTGATCGGTTGTAAGTTTCAATTGTTTCAATTGTGAGGTCATGCCTAGGACAAGTACATGACGTCACAGACTTACGCACTGGAGTCAAAATGGCGTTTTTTTTAAATTTCAAGGTTGCATGAAAATTGACGTGTTACACGAATAGATGCTACAAACCTTGATTATGTGATAATAATCGCCCGAGACTCGCTAAATTGAAAAATTCTGAAGACTCGTTTCATAAATCTCATATGAAATGTTAACTCATGTAAGATCATACATATATATGTTTTTCTCATTGAAGGTTTTGGAAGAAATCAAAGTTCACTCCTGTTTACTTGAGACAAACAGCAGTAAGTAATATTTCTGTTCTCATAATTTAAATGAAATTGTTTAAACAATTACTGCATGCTCGATTATTTGATTTTGTCTGCACTTAAAAAGAAGGGAGACCCATTCTTTCAGTACTGATTTTTCTTGTTCTTCCTTTTCTACTAGCTGGGTAATAGTTCTTTAAACCTTTTGAAATGATCTCCATGAAATCTAATGTGTACATTCATAAACCACAGAAGGTGTGCAGTGTACTGAAATTAGGTCACAGTGACTTTCACCATAAGTCAAAGGTCAAAAACAGATAGTCTGTCCCTTTTATCTGCAAGTGCTTATACGTTAATCATCAGACTCAGTGATGAAAGTGCCTATCAGAGTGTTCTCCCTTGTAAGGTGGTCCCATGTTTTTTCATTTAGAGCTTTATTAAAAAAAAAATGAGATAGAAATTTTAGCTGACATAAGAGTAGTCATCCTTGAAAGTGTCTTTCCTCCATATACTTCCCGGCTCTCCACTGTGTAATGAGTAAATGTGGGTTACAGAACGACCTGACCGGAGAGCACTCGTGTATCATGCTGAAGATGTTGAACGAGTCTGAGGAGGAGGATGAAGAGGACAAGAGGACAGATTCTTGGCTGTGTGCCTTTTGGAAAGGTGAGAGACAATCGTAAACATTTGAATCCTGTAATCTTTGTAAGAAAAAAACCAACCTTGAAATGTTTATTATTGGCACAATAACATGTATCAATATTTGTTTTATCTTGTCCCCCATCAGTCCCAAGGTCAAGAATGTTTGAAATTGTCTGCGATGATAGATTTAGAAGCCAGTGCTACTCCTGGAAGGGAATTCTGTCAAACCTCTAAACAGTCTTATAATAATAACTTTAATATTTACTGTTCTTCTCATAGCGACCCTTCATGGCGTGCTATATTATATTATGCTAAATTAGAAGAAAATGTAGAAGTATAGATAAAGTATGGCAGCCTTAAATATTTTGTTTTGCTAGGAATAACACAAAATACAATTGATTCACAGTACTGTTTACATGTCCTCATATAAACACTTGTTTTGATTTAGATTTCCGGCGGAGGTTTGTGTCTCTGATGTCCTACCAGTTTAAGAACTTCACCCCTGCCTTGGCTCTGAGTATACTTCAACAGAAACACTTCAAAAAAGCTGCCAAAGGTACTGTACCATGCTCATTTGTAGGTGTATTAAGTAGAACATTTCAAAAAAGCTCTCAATTAATAGGTTGACTATGGAAAGTGTGTCCGACCATTATGATGTATTTCTGCTTTAGTTTTTCAGTGTGATGATCTAAAGAATTTACAGAACAGTAAATCTGTTTGAAATCCAAGCGTTGATTTTTTTCCATATTGTATGCATGGCTCCAATTATTGGCTAGGTGCAAGTTTATTTTCCCTTGATATAAACTTTATTTTGTTTCTTTTCGTGTTTACAGTATAATATGATGCAAAACATAATTGCGGTAATAGGGTCTGGAAACAAGTCTTACAACTGATATAAATCCATCTCTATGTAATGCATGTATGTGCATTTGCCTTCGTTTGACCAGGTACAATGTCCAAGAGAGACCTTGACCTGTACCTGAGTAACTATGACCTGAAGCGGCTGGAGCTGTACTCCCAGAACATGGTGGACTACCATCTAGTGATGGACCTCCTACCCACCATTGCTCGTCTCTTCTTCCTTGACCAGGCTGACATCCACCTCTCCGCCGTACAGTCGGTCAGTGTTTATATATACGAATCAATATTTATTACATATTTAAATAGAATTTTAAGTCTATAAGGCCTAAAGAGTAATGTTAAAACAAATCATATAATAAACAGAAAAAATTAACTTGTCTTAAACATATCGTGTGGAGAAATAGTTCAAAGAGGAATTTTCTTTAAGCAGAACCAAAGTTATGCATTTTATACCACACATGAAAAAAGGGGTTATGTGAAGTTGCTGACATGGAAAAAGATTGACCATTGTGTTACTAGATTGTAATTGCAGACTATCCTGATGTAGGATGTGTGTTACACTGTATAAAAACAGGTTATTCCTGGTAGGTTTTGCTACATTGTATGTTTAAAGCTATCCTGAATTCTCTAGCTATCCTGATGCAGGAGTTTTACTTCATTGTAGGCTATCCTACTGGGCATGGGACTACAGCACAAGACTGTGGATGAGTTAGAGAAAGACCTTGACCTTCCTTCCAGTCAGCTGTTGGGACTCTTCAGCAGAGTTATACGCAAGATTGTCCAGGTAATTAGCATGCACATCGTCTTTCTTACTTGGGTGAATGACAAATTTAAAGAAGTATTGTGACCGTGATTACATTTGAAATATTTGATAAAGGTGTTTGCTTCTGTAAACTGATCGGAATTCATCATAATAGTATGGATATTTTGAATAAAAACAGCAACATGAAAAGTAATGTTTTCTTCATACACTAAGTTTATTTACCCATTTTAGGTAAAGGAAAAAACAAATCTGTTTCACCTCAAGTAGGGAGAGGTTTTAGTGGAGGAGACAAATACTAATGATGGACAAGAGACAAAAAATAAGCCCTTGGAATAATTTTTAACTTTTTGACCTCTGTAAAGCCTCGGTTTAGATATTGAGATAGTGCTGTCTACCTCATACAGGCCTTACAGATCCTATTGATCTTCCAGGAGAGCATTTGTAAAATAATGATAAGGAATGTTGTCACATTTATACTAAAGTGATACCAAAATGGTAGTTGACATGAAAAACATTAATTTCACACACACACAAAACTGGGAAGAAAGGCGCGTTTACTATGCACACACTAATTGTGAACTTTTTTTTATAATGAGGTAATAATTTTGTCCATTTACAAGGGATGTCTCTTGAACAACATAAAATATCTTATGTCCCCAAGAGTTTGAACTGTAATTATTCTGGAGCTCAATGAAAAATGAGATATTTCCATATTTATGATTCAAGGATACAGAAATCAGATTTTGAACACTAAATCAGATGGAACCTATCTTAGAGTTTCAATTTCTTTTTTTTTGTTATCCAATCAATAACTAATGAGTAAACTTACCTAAAGTTTCATGTCTTGATTCAGCAATTCAGTGAGATAGTGGAGACAGACATAGCCAAGGACATGGTGGAGCGGAAAGAAATCACCATGGAACCCGTCAGACAGACAATGGAAGAGGATCTGGTAAGGGGCATAACTCCTATATTACTATGGCAGATTTTGATTGTACTTAGGATAACGGCTGACTCCTTGCTTTGCAGCGCTAGAGGGAATTTCCCTTTCGCTCGGTGGTAGAGCATTCGACTAGGTAGTCTGGGGTCTCGGTTCAAACCACAGTGAAACCACATTACTCTCTTTCCTGTCACATTCTTCACCCAAAGTAGGACTTCTTTCCTTCTAGTGGATAAACTAGGGGTACATTCGCGTTACCGGTTGAAACGGTTGAACCTGTAAAGAAAACGACAGGTATAGATTTGGACCGAGGCTGACTTCAGAAAAATTTGGTACGTGTAGATTGAGGGGTCCAGACGTACCTGACCGAAACTAAAATGCTGACTATTGCCAATTTGCGTTATTTCTTTCTTAAACAATGTCAAGTCACATGTAGTTTTTAAGTTACGTTATGTAATTCAGTGGACGGATGAAAGAAGGTCATGATATTCTTGAAACACTGTTTTTTATTCTCCGAAACTGTGGATTTTTAGCTCTGCTTATAGAACGGTCCAAGTGTGTTTGTTTATCGTGGAAAATTTCTGCATCACACATACCGTTTCAACCGGGAAACGCGAATGTAGCCTAGATGTATAGCTTTAAGCTTCTACTATGTAATTCTGATTTGTTTAGAGATTTTGAACCAGAATATATGGTTTCCTTCGGACTGATTCCAATTTATTGTGAGATAAGAGGAGTTATTTTAACCATATATGAATGCTGTTGAAGTAAGAGAAAGGGATTTGCTGGTAGTTTTGTCCATGTTGTCATCAATAGAAGCTTAATATTTCATCAGTATGTATAATATAAAATAAGATAATGGTTAGAACCATTGTGAAACATTTAGATCAGAACTAAAATAAACACAAATAATAATGTGATTTGTTTTTCACTAAAATAAGATCAAGTGGAGCAACAAAATTTAAAAATTGTGTGCTCCTTGTTTAATTGTTACCAGTAGTAGATCGGCCTTCTCCTGACAATGGCTACCATGGTATACCTATTGTACTAACAATTCATCATAACATTCATCTGTAATATATATATATATATATACATGTTCCTTTTTAAATGACAAAAAGGAATTGTCAAAAATTAAAACAAAAGTGTAGTCTTTCAAGTAAGTTTTCAGTATAGTGAGTAAGTACATAATGATGAATTTAAGTCATTGTTGGAAATTATTTTCACTGAAAAACATTTATTTATTTTTATTTCAGGAGGAGGGAGCAGAAGATGAGAAGAAGAAACAACAGAAGAAGGACCTGGCGGTGATGAAGGATGTCGACCTGTCCGAGTTTGAGATCCAGGGCACAGAACAGGACTGGAACAAAGTCCTTACCGGCAAGAGCGGTAGAGGGCTTGTTAGCATTAAAAGGTAACTTTACAATTAGGTTAAATAGTTACTTGTTATAACTGACTTATAATAACTTACATCCAAATAGTTTATGTGTCTTTATCATTAGGGTACTGATGAGCATTTTCGGCATGATATATTTCTGCTAACTTTGCAAGTTTGAGTTTTTTTGTAAAATATTGAAACCTGCAAGTGTAAAAGATTTGGGAAAACAGATAATTACTTCATGGGGATAAGCCTGAGCAGGTTTGGGAATATTTAAAGCAGGCATATGGATATATCATGTGTTTCACTACTAGTGCCACCTAAATCAAACGGATTGTGACAAACTTATCCTCCACTAACAAAAAATAACAAGGGTGAAGCATTAAGAAAAGCTATAGTTAGAAAAAGGTAAACTTTCTTTATTTAACAACAATTAGGAAACAAGTTATTTCAACTTATATTAATCACTCTTGTTGGCCCTGATGTTAACGCATGGGGGTCTTATTGTGGGAGGAAACCGGAGTACCCGGAGAAAACGCATGTGGTCGGACAAGTGAACCAATACATTTACATGTCCGATCGGGGAATCTTGGTGAAAGGCTAGTAGGATATCCAGGTGAAAGGCTAGTGGGCTATCCACTGTGCCACCCAACAACCCTAGCTATAGTTCCTATTACTACTAAAAATAAGTGAAATTCTTCTATTTGTGATATTTTTGTGATAACTCCATAGGAGTTTAGCTAATGTGAGAAGTTGTTTTGGGGGAGGAGGAGGGGGGATTTACTGAAATAAAAACAATATCTGCATACAAAAGTCGTATTGTTTAAGTCATTCAATTCTTTTTTTTGCAGTGGATTTAAGAAAAGGAAAATGGAAGAGGCAAAACAAAAGGAGCAGAAACCAGTAGACAATGAGGATGTGCCTCCAGAATTTAAAAAGAAAAAGAAACATCACAACAAAAAGTTCAATAAATCTTAACAAATACTGTATTGACTGTAAATATTGATGATTTCATGGTGACGTTGTCGTTAGATCCAGTCAATTATTGTGATATAGATGTCTGTGTTAGCCACAATTCAGTTTAAAACAAATGTTAGTAGATTCTGTATTCACTGTAAATATTGATGATTTCATGGTGACGTTGTCATTAGATCCAGTCAAATATTGTGATATAAATATTTGTTTTAGCCACAATTCAGTTTAAAACAAATGTTAGTAGATTCTGTATTCACTGTAAATATTGATGATTTCATGGTGACGTTGTCATTAGATCCAGTCAACTATTGTGATATAAATGTCTGATTTAGCCACAATTCAGTTGAAAACAAATGTTAGTAGAAAGATTTTAAATAAGGTTTTAACATTAAAGTCATCTGTCGCCTATCTGATTCATTACTTACTGAAATTGATACACAATCTGTTGGCTGTACATTAACCTTGAAATGAACACGGACGAGACAAGGAAGAGCTGTTAAAGAGACGTTTATTGTTTTACTGGGTTATCTAAGATAACCTTTATACACACTTGACAATGTCTATGAATAAAATCATAAACATGAAGTAATTTTGTTATGGTCTTTTATTGATTCACATAGTTTGTACATGTATATGGAATTTTTGTCAGTTTGTTAATTTCAGGTTGACTTTCAATTTTTCCAGAAACCAATTTAACACAGGGGATAGGTATCTATACATTTGCAAAAAAATGAATATATTTAAGGAAATGTATTTAAGTGAAACTTCTAGATTGCTTCCTACTCCTGTAGCATAAGAGGCTGCTGGTTCCGCCTTTTTTCTATCGGATATAAGTTTGCCGTCGGCGCCTGTCAATAGTATCTCGCCGTGTAAATCTTTAACACTGTTAGAGTAGATTGCTTCCTAGGGATCCCATGAGATATAATTAGGGCCCCGTATCGGAGATACGGGTGCCCTATAGTAATCACTCTGTCTGTCTGTCTGTCTGTCCGTCCACAAATTTTGTTCCTGGCTGATAACTTTGGTATTTATTGACCTATGTACATGAAACTTGGTCAAGATGTTCAGTTCACAAAAATACACATTGAGGTAAAAAGTCAAGGTCAAACGTCAAGGTCATAAGGTTCAAAGGTCAAGGTCAAATTTTACATCTTTTCACTGATGAACATTTTGTTATGACATTATGAAGCAAAGTTGATCAGAATTAAACAATGAGTCAACTGACCAAAGTTCAAGGTCTTCGGGTCAGGGGTCAAGGTCAAATTTTGTAGCTATTCAGTGGTGAACATTTCGCTATGACATTATGAAGCAAAGTTGTTCGGAATTAAACAAAGAGACACACTGAGATAAAAAGTAGAGGTCAAAGGTCAAGGTAATTAGATTCAAAGGTCAAGGTCAAATTTTACATCTTTACACTGATGAACATTTTGTTATGACATGATGAAGCAAAGTTGATCAGAATTAAACAAGGAGTCAACTGATGAAAGGTCAAGGTCATTGGGTCAAAGGTCAAGGTTAAATTTTGTATCTTTTCACTGGTGAACATTTCGCTATGACACTTTGAAGCAATGTTGCTCAGAATTAAACAAGGAGTCAATTGACCAAAGGTCAAGGTCACTGGGACAAAGGTAAAGGTTAAATTTTGTACCTTTTCCCTGATGAACATTTTGTTATGACATTATGAATCATTGTTGTTCAGAATTTAACACAGAGTCAACTGATCCAGGTTACAGGGTCCAAAGAGTCAAGGTCAAGTTTTGTATTTTTCACTGATGAACATTTTGTTATGATATTAAGAAGCAAAGTTGGTCGGAATTAAAGAATAAGTCAACTGACCAAAGATCAGGGTCACTGGGTTAATGGTCAAGGTCTTTTGGGTCCAAAGGTCGAAGACAATGTGGATCTCTGACTTTGACCCTTGCTCTTGATGGAGGAGGTAAATAAGGTGAAATAAAACAAATCAAAGCTAACAAAAGATAATTGCACCGGTATTTACATTTCTGTTAGCCCAGCAAAATGTATATTTTGCTTCCTTGCGATTCTTTTTGAAGCCCAAATGTCAAACGTCAAGCTCAGCTACATGTATATGGACAGGTTGCTTCTTGGTGATTATGGGGGATATATTGCCACAAGACGGGGCCCTTACTGACCTGTCAGTGTTCTAGTTCTAGTCCAATGTGTTATGAGTTTGACTGTCTGAAGATATTTCTGTAATCTATTTTACAGGAACATTTTCTATGTCAGTTAGTACTGCTGTGGTCTGAAATAGAACAATTCTGTTGTCTCAGTCTGCAGCTAACCATTTCTCTCGGATGTCTTTAGTATTTATTATAAGTCAAACATGGTTTTATACTTTAAAACAAGTAATTCAGAGAGCAGGTCAATTCTGAAAATATTCAATGCTGCCATTATTACCAAACTAATCCTTTAGAAACAGAACACTTCATATAAAAACAAACTCAATAAGTATTCCTTGATAAGATTTATTTCTATGGTGCACATGTATAAAGATATATTGCCATACAAATGTATATATAAATATTATAAAACGTATATGATTGCATCAAACAGTGATATCACAATTTCTTAATACTTAATCCATATTAAAGTTTGGATGGACGGAATTATAGACAATTAATTTATACCTTGATAACAATGGACGGAATTGTGTAGATAGAACATACGTAATAAATAAGGGTTATGATCTGGTACGATCTACCTACTCTGGATCGTAACCCTTGCCTAGCCAAGATGCATGTATGGGTACATTTGTTCTCCTCCTGCCATTTCAAGTTAAGTTTTGATACAGACGAATTTTGTAAATTTTAGGCAGACTTTAATATTGATATGGTTCATTGCAGTGGTATAACAATTAGGATGTTAACCCTTTCACCCCTGTAGACCATAATGGACTTATCAATATCAATGCATGGTAGAGTCTACTAAAAGTTACATAGGGATGCAAGGGTCAAGATAGGAAGAGTCGAAAGTAAATACAACTTGTTTCTGTGGCAACGTTGTGTTTAATAACAAATAATCCGCCAGTAATGATATCTTTATGAATCTTCAAGTCACAAAAGCACAATGGTAGACCTCTCCTTTATGTTCGGCTCTGTTGAGTAAATGTTGTTGTGGAGTAATTTAAAATTATAGACAATCAACACATACGATTTTTATGAGATTTTGGCAGCAAGCCCAAATTTTGTTGTGCTCATTTCTGTTGATAATGGTTTATAAATAACAAAAACTATATTTAGACCAAACAGGATACAAATTTACACAAATCGCGCATCTAATGAATAGCAAACCATTTGATTGAAATGTATGCATCGTAAATGTTGATTAAATCTCGTTATTGAAATTATCTGAAACTCTTTTTGTAGACGTTATTTCTCCAAATCACACTGAAACTGCTGGGTTTTTTTTTGACAAACATTAACAAATTTGACATGGAATATAAAACTGTTTTCTTTTTTTGACTTGGAATATGATAGGGTAAGTTGAGAGACCGGTGAATGCTCCTGTTTATTCACTCCTGAAAATGTAATAAATATTGGCTATATGTGTTTCATATGGAGTGTGACTCCTTGCTAATTTACATGAAAAATCAAGTCCTCTATATTGTCAAAAATCGATATCTCAAATATTTCACTTGTTATCAAATAGATTAAGTCTGAATTTAGATTAACACTTATCATTATTTGACAGTATTACAGTAAAGTGATTGATAGAATATCAACATTTGAACAAGTAATCACATGACTATACACTATGTTTATGAACAAGGAGTTCCAGTGTTAGCAACATTTTGCTATTATATCACAGATAGGGTATTTATATATCATACACAATTTGCTAGATTGAGCACCAAAATCGTTTTCCAAGACAAATTCTTGTCGATTATGCTAGAAACGTTGAATTGAAAACATGTATGAACAGTTAATGGCTGGTGTTGCTTTTGGTAGGCTTTGATGGAATACATACAATTCCATGAAAAGGAAACTAAATGTAGCTATTTGATTATGTTGTTGGCCAACAATGGATATGAATTAAGAAAGTACAGGTATATTACAAAATATTAAGTATTTAAGCAGGCGTGCGGTTTTCACATTTAGTTTCGAATTTCAAAAAAAAGGTCGACTTCTAATATGAATTCAATGAAAGTCACATCTATCTAAAACATAGTGTTGCTTGTAGTCTCACACGGTACGTTTTGACCGGCTACAGCCATAATTGTGCTATTGGGCAACGTGGACAGTCTTCAGGTAACTCCCAAATTATCTTTCCGTCACTATAATTCTCTTTTAAGATTTCTTCACGTGAAACATTCCCCCCTTGTATTCCATTTCCACAACACACATCGAGGAATATTTGGCTGGTAAAACACCAACCTTCATTATCCACTAATGTACATCATTTAACGACATAATTTGCCTTATGGCACACGTTTTTATGAGGTTCAGATTAATCGTCTTCCTCTTCATCGTCCGTTTCCTCCACCTTTTCCCCCATGATGTCTTCTCCCAGGATTTCTAAAGACGGCGTATCTTTGTTAGCTAAACGAAGAACGACGACATCCGGGATATCGTGAAGTCCAAAGGTGATGAGCTGACCATCCATTGCGACTTTACAGCAGTTTATTTTCATGTCGGGCGTGAACACCGCTAATACCACCCCTCGCTCTAAGTCCCACACGGAGATGTCCCCAGCAATTACCACTGCCTGGGTACCTCCGTTTGTGACGAATATCTGGCTGTCCGCATTGAACTGCAGGCCGGGATAACCTTTTATCTTTCTCAGACCGTTGGCAGACATTGGATCCCAGATATGCAGTTCATTCTTACCGCGTCCGATAATGACTCTAGATCCGTCATTCAGGATTGCCAGCGCCATTACATTGCTCTCGTTTTTGAGACGCTTCTTTATCTGCCCTGTAGTACAGTCCCACATCGTCACATAACTGGTCTTTGTCTCCTCGTCGTAGTTCGGCAAGACGAGGAAGATGCCGTCCGGCGTCAGAGCAGCACTATGCAGAAACAACATTGAAAATGGAGTTTCGATGATGTGCAGATGCTTCTCGTTTACGATATCAAACACGCAAAGATGATGAGCGAAGTAAGATGCTACGGCAATGTTCTGGTTTTCACTTATGATGTATTGTTCGATTCCATTGTCTTTCTCTTTCTTAAGTTCCTCGTGACGTTTCCGCTCCTGGTCCAATTCATCCTCGCGACGTCGTTGTTTCGCCGATGATGATTCCGCCCGGCGATCCCAAGGCGTCATCACTTCCGTGGAGTTTCGAATGCTCAATACTCTGTCGGTACTTGATGGTGATTTTTGAACGATTTCACGGTTTGGTTTGATCCTCCGAACCACGTGTCCATTGACGAGACTCCAAACGACGAAGTGACTCCTGTTGTCCGACAGTCCAAGAAGATTCTCGTTGTCCAGCATGACATATTCATGTGCGGGACAGGGAGTGATATAACATCCGGTTAGTTTCTTTAGGTACTTCTTTTCTCTCAGGTCGTATATTAATACTGTTTGGAAAACAGGCCGGGAACTATCAGATGCACTGGAGAATCCGCGGTCGGACAGAATCACAACTCTGGTGTTTCTCACAATGACAACGTCTGCCGTTTCCGATAAACCTCTTTCTATCCTCACTGCGTTTTGCAAGATCTTAGCCCTCACCACGTTCCACACGCTTATTGGTCCGCTGTTCATTTGACGAGCGACTACATACCTCGGGTTGTTCACCATAGGAATAATCTGAGTAACACCCAGAGTCTTCTTCAGTTTCGGCATAGATTGATTCACTTTACCACTGAGGTTCCAGATTCTTAGTGTTTTGTCTCCCTTTGCTGCCGTCAAACAGTACTTAAAATCTACACAGGCCCCCATCAACGATACGCCAGCATGGCGGGCTAAGTGTTTGTGATCCTCCGTTTCTAGGTTCCAGATTGCAATGTCAGATGTTGACGTTTTTTCTGAAGAGCAAATGGCGATAACATGACTTCCCATGTAGTTAAGATGTAAACTTGTCATGTGGTCCTGAGTGCACCCTCTAACGCTCCGTAGGTAGTGACCTTTCTTCAGGTCAAACAGTTCAAGCTGGTGTATTTCGTGAAGGGTCATGTATTGTTGTCGACACGCAACAATGTAATAGTCCCTAGTCACCCCAAGACTGACTGCAGATGAGGATTTCTCATTGCATTTGAGCGTATGAATCACCTTTCCGGATCGCGCATTTTGTACAGTTGCCATATTTGCTCCCCTGAATGCATGTAACACTTTATCGTCAAAGGAACTCGAGGCAATCAGTAAAGAATTGTCTGTGTACACACTGTTGTCCTCAATCCTTGCTTCACAGACCATGGGCATAATCTGCCTCTTCAGATTCCATGTTCGCATTATGTTAATACCATCAAAGAGCGCGACTAGGTACTTGCCTTCCCCCGCCGTCCCAAGCACGGGTGGGTCAAGGTAATGATCGATGGTCAGAACGCATTCACTGAAGCGAATGTTCCACACACGTATGACGCTCCCCTCTACAGTGGCTACCAAAGCATTGTTCAGGGCTGGTATGATGGATCTGACGTTTGTTCCCGTTCCGTCTATAGTTTTCATGACTCGCCCCGTCCGTATGTTCCACAGTTTTATCGTATTGTCCGCAGATGCCGTCAATGCCTTCAGTCCTTCTGACGTCAGTGTCATTGCCGTGATTGGCTCAGAATGTCCAGATAATAAGTCAAACAGAATACCGCCAGGTTCAGACAAACACGAGATGGACGGGATAAGAGAAAGCAGAGACGGCGACTTTGCTTGATCATAAAACGAATGCAGATAGGGATATTTTGGAGGATCTCCCGCGGTTGCTGGAATGTCTCGAGCGATCATTCCATGCAGACGACCTATCATCTGTGACGCTAACTGTCGCGGGTCGTTTGTAAGTGCTGTTGCTGACAACTGAATTGTGTCCGATAGCGTCTTTAGATCGATGTCTGTCGGATCCACTTGCAGGCCTATTTGATATTCCTCAACAAGTGCTCGGAGAGAAGTGCCGCATAATTTGGCAAGTACCCATTCGAAATTGCATAGTCCTTGTGATTTATACAGTTCCGTCTGTGACGAATTCAACAAATGATGCGGTAGTTCGTTCACTCTGCGTAGATTGTACACTCGATCTGATCCGTCTTTGACGGAATCCTCAGGCTCGAAGTATAGGGGCTGCGACGAGACATGTCTCAGCATCCCTTTGTCATTTCCAGGGAAGGGTTTTTTCTTTGTTGCCCATTTTCCCAAGAAATACTCTGCCATTGCTTTGTGATAAGATGCGGCCTTGTCACGAGCGAGCAGGTATCTTTCCTCTGCAGCCTCTTTAAACTGTGCATGTGCCCACTGCAATGTTCTCATGCTCTGTGATTTTATCACAGTGATGTATTCCTGTAAATCGTCCCGAAGACGAACCCAAAGAATGGTTGGAAACCTACGGCGTGGTGGATGGTAGATGGACATAATGTCGTCCATGACAGCATCGTCCAGCGACAAAATGTCCACCATTTCATTGTTAGTTAATCCGTTCCGTGATGCGGTGATGTAGCCTAGGGCTCTGCGTACCAGGGGCTCGCCGTGTTTTGTCTCCAGCTTCCCAAATTTGAAAGAGGCTTGCTTTTTTACGTTGTCTCCAAATTTGATTTGGTCAAGCGCCGTTAACGATGTCCAAGACAGCGCATCTTGAAATGCGATCTTCAGAAAAAGTGGCATTGGACATTTCTTAAATGCGTCTACGAGACACTCAAACTGCTCACCCGTGAAGGTTTTATCATTTTTGTGAAGCCAATGTTCAAGGATTGTTATTGCATCTTGTTCCGGAAGTTCCGGGATTTCGATGTAGGCTTCTGATGTCTCGGGGATACTCTTTCTTAGGTTGTCAAAACATTCGTATTTATCATCTGGATTGGTAGACACTATAATATAGGCATTCTTAGGCAGTTCCTTCGGCAACCAGGTCAGTTTTCTTCCTTCGTGATCATCTGAAATTGTTTAATTGTTTATAGAGTACTACGGCATAACACATCTCTTTAATGATATTATAAACGATTCATTATTTTGTAGTCATTATTTGTGTTAAAGACAACATTTCCATATATATATATTTACATTCTGTATGCTTTGACCCATTGACAAAAATTACATTCATAAATGCATAACACAGGTGTTCATAGAATCTCAGCACGCGGGAACTGATAGTAACCTGATCACACTGCGTAGTAATACACTACAAAAACTACTCACTCGGAACGACCGACCTAGATGCTTAATTCTTACATCTTAAAATATTATTGAACTGTGCTTTGTGAAATATCCACGTATTCACGTGTCCTGTGCTACAAATAAACATTGAATATGGAACTACATTTTGTTGTGTTATTGTTGTTGACGGTTGCTAAGATCTCTCAGCATTAAATATTTAAATATTTGTTTCCTTTGTTTGATTTCGTTGTTTATAAAAATACATACTTTTATCATTTATTCGATAATTTCTCTTATACGTTTTGATACAAACTCCTTTTGTTGTGAGGTTATCATTTTTATGTTGAAAGAGTTTTAAAGTTACCTGATAGGCGATCTAGAGAATCCAGTATAATGACAATGGGATTTTCAGGTGTTGCCAGGGACAACCGGTGGGTGAAGTCGTTCATGAGACCTTTGTAATCCTGTTGGTAGAATACATTATTTTAGTAATATGTCTGTCTATATAACAAAATGTCTCTATGCAATGGATATATGAAATATGCTACGGCCTAATAGTTCATTACTAAACAAAACTATTGGTATATGGCGATCAACAGTGACAAATATTATTACGATATGGCAATAAACACTGTGAAATATATTCCCGATCATCAGTTAAGATCACTTATTCTCTGGGATTTTAATGCGGAAATTAAAGTCTCTATACGTATATGGTAACGAAATAACCGTGATTTAAAGTAAACACAATTGTGTTTTCTTTCTTTTTTAAGTTACTTTTTGGTTAGTACGGTTAATTTCTCTTAATCTGAACAGGTGTATCAACACTTTTTCCGGTGTGAGATGTCTTTGTCTCACCCTAGGGTTAAGACATGGGAATTCCCCAGTCATATTAATTGAATTGATTAATTAATTGAACACCAACACTGCATTACTGTAAACGTACATGTTTTAGCGGTCGTCAAATTTAAGCGCTTTCTGCGCTTTAAATATTGTGCTTAATTATGAATGCACTAATTGCAGTGCTTGTATATTGTTCTACATTGCAGGTTTTCCTGATGCACTAATTCTTAAATGCACTAATCTATTAAAATTCGATATTGTGCTTAATTTACAGTATATAGGCCGGCAGGGTAAGAGAAAATACATTGTTCATCCCGTTGAAGGTGGGATGTCGTGGATCTCAACACTTGGAGAATGCCCCTTAAGTTACCAAACACTCGGCAAGTGTCGAGTTTTGCAACTTAATATTTTTTTCCTTGGGGTTGAGATCAGCCTTTCTCACCCCAAAGGTACTGAATAACAACAGCAAATTTAAATCAAGAATATGTCGAGTTTCGGTAATAGTGTAAGATATACATAGAAATACTGGCAGAGGAAACTCACCGTTGGGACATCCTCTACATTGGTGCCGAACACCTGACACATCTGCAGACAGAGGTCGCGGAGGAGCGAGCGTACGTTTGTGGAACTGGTCGTGATTCCTATTACCCGCAACAGCACGCTCATGTTGTGTCTGAAACGGTAAGATATCGTTAGTTATGATTTGTCGTCACTAACCACCTACATAAATACAGCGGGTCGGTAAGAATGTAAGAGGACGAAAATAAATTCGACATATTCATGACAAAACCTGATGTGATTCCTTTACTTTACGCTCCTGGTATTATTCTGAATATATTTTCATCATAAGATAATCATTTGTACGTCATATAGCACACATCACTTTAATGTTGACAATTCATTGTTATATTGATAAACGGTCACTAGTGTAGTTACACGTAGTTATACGATCAGATAGCAGATGTATGATAGTGTTTGGTAACGTTTCGTACCCTCTGAACCACTTGTGTGTCTCCTTGGCTGTCTTGCAAAGAAGGGCAGTTTTACCACAACCCGCCTTGCCATAGAGAACCAGCGGAGACGGGCATTTAGACCTGAGGTAAGATTTCACCAACTGAAGGAGCTCCTTCCTCCCCTGGAAGTGCTTCGTTCTGTAGAACAGATGTAAAGGAATATACACTGATACTGACAAGCTGCTAGCTGTAAACAGGTACACAAGAACTTATTTTTCATCAATTAAAGCGGTGAATCTATAAATTATTTACATAAAAACGACTTCATTGGCGACTTTGACGCAGAAAAACAAATTTTTGATCTACGCATAATTGGCTATACACTTGTTTACGTCGACTGTTGATATTTTTAATCAGGTTGTTTTATTGATTATATTATTTTATGAATATGCAGTCTGAGAGGAAAATTCAGCACTTGTATTGAAATCGTTTTTACGTTCCACCTTTCTCGCGGCATGGCATTGGCGGGAACGCACTGAATTTTCAAATTCATTACAGACCGAAATATTTTTATGTTTGTTAATTCGTTCGAGGAAAACTATAGATTATCTCAGATTAAATTGAAACATATTCTCTTTTTGAAACTACATAAAGAACTCGTTCCTCAACGTTCTTCGAACATATTTATTGTAGGCGTCAAACGCATATTGTTCTAGATTGTTCGTGGAATAGATAATAAGAGGTATATATAAGGAGCCATACGTAATATAGAATGTATTCAGTTCCGATACGTCGAGCAGATCATCAAAAACTATATCAATTACTCGCATGAAGAGAAAGAAAAAAACTTAAATAAGCAAAACATATATTTATATAAAAAAAGGAGTAAATCAGTATGAGTGCGTATAAGTACCTTTCTTGACAAAATGCCACATGCTGTGACACCTCGTCGAACAGCTTAGTTTTGTCGTCCACTTTTCGTTTTCTCTCATCAAAGTAGATGCATAATTGCTTCTTCAGAGTTTCCGTGACCTGTTTGCACATGCGCTCTATGTAATGTTGGTGAGACCTATGACCTCCAATGATCACTCCTCCTGCTGCCCATTCGACATCGTACGGTAGGATGTTTGCCACTCCAACCTGTTATAGGAACGTGAGAAAGCCTTATTACGTAAACTGTTAGTGTTGTACACATAAATGCCAATGGTTTGATGTGTAAAGCATGTGTAAAATGCATCTTTTTTATATATAAATCATTTTATAATGAAATCAGAGTAGAAGCGCTCAAAACCCCAAATAACTTCTTCGTTAATTTAAAACGCTCCAGATTTTGTTTTCTATTATAGCACTTGTAAAATTTTACTATTTGAAATTTCCTCGCAGTGTCTTACCTTTGTAGGCAAAGTCTCCAGTTTGAGATCTTGGATGATGGATGACTGAGTTTTGTCGAGCGCGTGAGGATTTTCCTTGCTTACGTCCACGAAGTCTGTTGCCGCGCTGTCGTTGAGATTCCGGCTGATGTCAGTGATGGTCCGCTGAACCACGAGACAGTGGTTGTCAGACGCATCCGTCTCTAGGATACCATGCTCGATCTCGAGACCAATCACTGTGCGATAAATTGTAAGGTGGTTTGTTAACTAATAGTTTGTTGGACAGTTTTTCATTAAAACCTGTATAGTGAATACAATATTCAAATTGAAACACGCATAAGGCGATATATCTGTTTTAACCCGAGGCAATATCTCATTTTTCTAATTGAATTTTGAGTTCAGATTTACGCTTTGTTTGTTGTATACACATCACATCGTAAGCATGGGCCTGGTATTATAAACCAGATAGAATACTAGGTCAGATTAATGGGTGATTTGTTTTCTTGTAGGTGAATCTAGTTGATATCAGTGATTGGTATATGTTTTGTTATCATTGATATAACTGATATAAACATTGTAAGGTTTGATACGTTTTTTCAATAAAACAGAATATATCCCATAATTGTTATGTCACATTCCCTACGGAGTACTTACTAGTGGAGAAATATTTCTTTCTTGCAAAAGGATCGGTGATCACCATGGGTGCGAATTCGTCAAACACCCCGCGGAGTTTCTTTGTCACCTCTGTGAAAGAGTTCTTAGCTGCATCCCTCTTCTTCGCATTGGCAAACTCTTTGTAGTGGGCACTGAAAAATCGAGAAACTAAACCAATATATTTCCTATTCGGTACCAAGATGTTTGAAATGTTTTTTGTAAATATTATACATCACTTGAATTGCTGTCACATAGATCCTTAACTTTAACTGATGGACAGTTAGGAGTGCTATGAACCTATTTGAACTGATTCTGTATCTGACGAACCACTGACCTGATATTATCTAGCTTGTATACCGGGGGTATGCAGTTCTCGTCTAGACTGTACCATTCCTTTAGGATTTCGGGATCAGTCAAGATTGCTTCCTGCTCCTTGAGGTTTTTAAGGGTCTGTGCCTCAGCCTTTGCCAAATCGGCGTTCTGCCTTCTAGTCTTTGCAGGCGATGATACACCCGATCCTTCGGGCCTCGTACTGCCTTCCTTTTCGCTGGAGTGATCTGTAGCATCAGTGAGGACACTCTCGGCATCCTGACGCTGTCGTTCACGCTCGGCTCGTGCAGACGATATTTCATCTATTTGCTCTTTTATAAGGTCAATCTCTCTTTGACGGAAGTCTTGGACAAAGTCGTAAAAGGCGTTGAACTCCTCTACTGGTATATTTGACGGCAGAAGATATGGTCCGTACTTATCTCCCAATAAAAGCTGACAAAACAGACAAAGGAGAGAAACATTACTGTCTTGCTCGTGCAACTTTCGATAGTTTTTAATTCAAACAAACACCAAAAAAAGAGAACGATAACAAAATAAAATAAATATATATCATGACCATTTTTGTACCAAGATTGCAATAATACTCACGAGTATGTTGACACCTGGGTTGGACTCGAGACACCTATTGATGGTGGTCAGGCAGGTGCCGGGGTAGGAGTGGTCATCCGTCACAGTGTCCGTCATGCCCCAGTGAAGGTCATACAACTCCAGCTCGTACCCCCGGGCCGCGCAGTATTCCCTCAAGTCTAATGATACCGTCTCCTCAAATGCTGTCTTCTCCGCCAGTGTGTCTGTGTATATGGGAAAAGCAAATAACTTTCATTTATTTGATACAAACTTGTACAAAATGGACAAACTATATATATATATGTTCATAAACAAGATATAATACAGAACTGCTCATCAGGCGTGAAATCAATATAGTTCTTTTAAAAACAACCATGTGTATATAAATGAACGTTTCGAAAGATTTCGAATATTTCCTATGCTATCATTATCGTGCCATTGTATAGAAATACGTAAATATGGCATTACCTGTAAAACCGGAACTGATATAAATCGGAACGACTGTACTCTCTGGCTGACACATCCGGTGCACATGTCCTTTCAGAATATCTGTCATTCTATCCCCCGTTGCATACTGAGAGTCCGCGCGGGTCAAAGGTCGTAACACGCACGGAGTTTGCACGGGACTAACACTAAGTTTTCGGAAACTTTCTATCACTTCCGGTTCGGGACTCTCTCCTAATTGTGTTTTAAGTCTTGTTAAGTCAAACAATTCATCATCATCGTCATCCTCCTCCACATCAGATGGCTCATCATCAATTACATCCTCTCCTGCCTTTTTCTCAGACTGGTCGCCTTCTTTTGCAGAAGATTTAGAATGAGCTTTTTTACCTATCGTGTCTATTTTGCTTTTCACATTTTCCTTTGATTCACTATTTTCTTTTGATTCACCATTTTCTATCATACCTTTCTTGTCTGTAGTTTTATCGACACCATTTTGTTTCGACACTTCATCCAAAGAGATAGTGACAGAAGACACACGTTTTGAACGATGTGTCGCCGTGTCACTTTGATTGTCAGTACTCTCCTTCCTAGTTACATCCCTCTTGTGAATGCTGTCCTGCAAATGATTACCATGGCTACCGTTGATGTCATGTCCGTTCACGTGACCGTTGTGCTGTCCATTGTGTAACACTTTCGATTTTTTAATCGACGGTTTACGTTGACTCTGCTTCATTGTTAATTTTTCACCAGTGTCAGAATATTTGTTGAATAGTTCGTTTTCATGATTCTTTGGCTGCAATATAAAAACACGAAACGTTTTTGCTTTCTTCATCAGTAGCATTTCATCGCAATGGCAGAACAAATAAAAAAAACTGTAAATTTCTGTATATTTATATATTGAATTATATTCGTTCTTTTGTGAAGTAATGAATCAGACAACATGAACATATTTTAAAACATCATATATATTGCATACATTCCATAGTTTTAGAAAGTCGTTCGTTTGAAAAAAAAAAAATAGATTATCACCTTCCCTGTACGTCACATGTTCGGGAAAATGCTAATGTGGTAAAATCAGTAGATATCTTGGGCTGTGAAAGTTTATTGATGACAGATAATGAAATTATATAGCTGAAGATCAGGTGATGGTGACGCTGTAAAATGTTTAAGAGTAGATTATAGATTCACTGGTCGAGAACCCTAGTGAAGTAGTGTATTGGTCACCAGGACGCATCTTTACAGTTAATCCGGATACTTAGGATCTGCATTGGCGCATCAACTTTGATATGTACTGTTAGGGAGACTGAGATTTGTCTACTGAAAAATCTAACGATTGATATGTTAACGTCGGATATTGATAAAAGGCAACAAGGATATCATAAAATGTATGTATGTATTAAATTTATGTAGTAATGAAAATAATAAAGTATCATTTTCTGGAGCTTATTTTCGCTCCGGTTAAATACATTTATGTATTTATTTATAATCATTTTTTTGTTCGAATTATTGTCTCCCTTTGTCGCACCTCCTATAGTTTGTGTTTAAACTTTGATCGATTTAGGGTTCACTCACCATCTTCACACTGCCCATCCTCTTTGCGTTTGCCCAGTCCTGGCCTTCCATAAGGGACAACTCGTCTGCGGACGGATCCAGGGCCGGGTTCATTCTCTGTTGTAATCGTTTGTTCATCTTCCTCTGTTAAACAAGGTGTGTAAATCGTGTGTCAGACAGCAATGCTCGCAAACTTAGACTGGACAAGTCCAATAAAAACAAAACTTCCATTTTGATGTCTATTATGTCTTAATGTAACTCTGGTAACCACTTATAGCCTTCAAAATGATGATAGAACTAATATAAAGTTCAAATAAAACCAATGGAAAGTAAATGAAATAATGAGATAGTAATAGACAATATAGATAACGGAGCAGACTATTTGTGTTATAACATTGATTTAAAACTGCTGCTTTGGTCATCAATCTTAAACACATTATATCTTTGCCTGGGTTTTAGAAGCTTGGTCAACTAAACGTATTCGAGGACCCTGAACATGAATTTATTAATGAACCAATTTACAACATGATTACTAATCTTTTGTGAATACTTTCTTAACTGTCTACTCAATAATAGTGTGACGATACCTATGGAGTTAATTTGAGAAGTTGAATGTTTATCAAAATAAATATTCTACAGTTACATTTCTTTTAACGTTGGACGACATTTTTATTGAACCGTCTATGATCATTTATATTGAGACTACTGCAATTGTACGGTGTGTTTTTCGTATATATTTATATGGCAAACCATTTATTACAACATATTTAGCTTTCTCGTTGATTTGGGTTGAGTATATATTACATCGTATGATTGCAGTGGCGCAGAGCGACCTGTCTTCGCTGGTAGGGCTCTCCCCAACCCTAAGGTAGCGCACTTTGAGTCACTGCAACCTACATGTTAATAATAATAAGAAGGGTAGTCTCACAATAATCTAATGTCGATATTGATCCCTATTACAAGTGGGTGGTTTTTTTTATGTTAAACAAACTATTTTAAGTTCTAGGAAACAGCCAACTGCAAGTATTTTACATGTACCAATGGAATTGATTTATATTTTGTACAAGTATTTGATATGTATTAATGAACATAAATGTAATTGTGATATGTGACACTTAAATAAACAAATTGAACTTGAACGTGAACTATATTATTGGTATGTGATTTGTTAAACCAGTGGACCAGTGACGACCTACCCTAAGATGGTTGACGATTCGTTTGTCCACGTCCATGCTGACCTTCTTGCTTTGTAGCTGCCAGTGACTCTCAGCAGCCTGTAAGTACAACACTTCTGTACAGGAAACACCCCAAGAGTCGAAATAATTCACTACATACGTTTCTATATCCATAGGAACATATATTTTATCCTAATTGCAAAATTCCTGGACTAGAACTAACGAGTACGATGTATTTTGACAGTCAGACATCTTATTTCTCCGGAATACACCTACGTGTTGGTCACGTGTACTGCTAAAATAATCGATAGAAACACGAAGTAAATACTTATCTAAATTTTCAGTAATTCGATGTAGAAAGCCATTAAAACAGCATGTGACCATTTCGGCGATTGAGGACTCATGAATGTTGCTCAAGGTCAAACGTATATGTGTGAAGTGTTCTTATATATCTATTCCGTCTTTTCGTATTGCAGAGTTATCTGCTCTTGTGAGCAGGTATTGATTGTTAAGTCATTAGTTTGTGTGAGAAAATTACGTCGTTTTCTCAAAATTTATGACGTTACTCTCACAAACAAATGACGTAATAATCAATACCTGCTCTCAAGAGCAGATAACTCTGCAATACGAAAAGGCGGAATAGAAACACTGAAATTTCGAAGCGGTGCCTTTGTGAAACCCTTCATAACTAAAATAATATACCATATAGAGATGTCACCGGAATATGTTGGAATGCATCTAATTTTCCAATGAGATATATACTGGTGTCTCACAGGAATATTTTCATTTTCAGAAGATACAATTTAATATAAATATTTCATATCGACAGAATACAGAAACACATGATCCAGCAGACGAGTTAAGTAAATGTAATAGTCTGCTTCAGTTTTACTAACATTACATCATTTTTTTGCAGAGGAAAATTACGCTGGAAAACCCTAGTTCGTAAAACTGGGGTCTGGCTTACTGTACTGCAGTGATGCCATGCGTACCTATCACTTACATTCTTTTGACTTACAATGTACACTACAGCGATGATTTCTTAAGTGTACCTATTATATTCATCACAATGATAACTATTACTCGGCCATTAAAGTTATCTCCTTCGCTATACTTAACAAACATTATATTAACCTTCCTCGGATTACTTATAGTGATGATAAACTATTCGGACAGTATATTAACTTCCCCCGGATTACTTAAAGTGATGCTATACTATTTGGTCATTATATTTACCTCCTCCGGGTTCCCTTGGAGTGTCTGTAAAGTCCGGGGCTGCCGTTGGAAGGTTGGCTCCCGCTCAATTGGCAGAGGAGGAAACACTGTTGCCTTTTTCCGGCCATCACTAGCAGCCTGCAAGAACACATACATTGGTCAGTGCCTATGGATAATATATTACATATTTTTGTATGTATGACACTGCTTGGTCCAAGTAGATGTATTATTAAAATACATACTTCACCATGTTTGACAATCTAATGACACTCAGACATTCCAATATAGCTAAACTGATCAGATAACGTCTGCCACTTTTATTTCCTATTTCCTACACCTAAGAAATTGATTCAGATTCATGAAACTGTTAACTATGTCAAAACAAATAATTTATATGACCATTAATGTCAGGGCATTGAGATGATGTACCTGTTACCCTAATTTGGATTAAGAAGAATATCGGTATACGTATACAGTATACAGAATGCTGCAGGTATGTGCTTTCAATCAGTCGTCAAAGGTATCTTTTAAACCATTGTTATGTAGAGAACAAACAGATGAACTTTCGCTGTTTACGTGTGACCTCGAACAGTTGTGTAATTATAATGTTGATAAGGTACATATAAGTGCTATTAGCCTGACCTTGTTCGTTAGGAATGTTTTAGTACACTACTGTTGTCTACATCTCGTTTATTGATCAGGTATATGTTTACGGTACTCGTTAGGATAATGGAACAATTAGCGCTGAAATTGACACCCGCGATGTAAAACTAATGACAAACCTCACCTGATTGTCTTTCTTTAAACACTTATAATACAAAACACGTACTAGTACTTACTGCACGGCAAGGTATTCGATTATGTGTACAACGACACGTGCTTGTCTACTTAACCTTTTCATGACGTGTCCATTTAGAGTCAATTTCCATTAAGAACATATAGCTAATAGAACAGACTTTATACAACAAAAAGTCATTAGTTACTACCCAGGTTCTACCTTGTTATGTTTCCATAAAGTTTGTTTGGGAGTTCGAGATCCTGCAACGGTTAACGGCATCTGCTGTAAATGGCTATCGATGTCATTCAACCAAACATTTATACTTACATTGAAAGTGCCTTTATTTAACTTTATTTAAATAATTTTGGTATTTTTTTAGACCAAAATTTGGCACACTTACACGAAACATGACGCTTTACAATTATTTATTTTTTTTACAGTTTTTCCATGAAATTAACAATCCAAATTATAGATAAGGAATGTATATTTGGATTGTGATAAAGACTAACCATGGTTATTTATACATGTTTCTAGAATAAGAACACTTAACTTGAAACTACATCACTTTCGTTTTGAAGCAATGACGAGCACCCAATGATTTTACACCAAATCATAAACTGTGGGACTGTTGGTTATATATTTATAAGTGAGCAGATTGCAAATATCACATTATATTTTTACAGGTATAACACCTAGTGTCAATTGTCATATATAAACATGTCTATTGTCTGGTTATATGAAACATAAACCAACATACTCAATTCATAATAACTACAAAAATACACCCAAGTATGAATCACTATGTTTAGATACCTTGTAATTACTATAAATAAAAGTTCACGAGGGAAATGATCTGTTTGCGTCTACCCAAATATTAATCTCCCTTTGTAACACTGTGCTTCTTTATTGTTAAGTGTGAAATCTAGGTATTCAGGATCCTGATAATTTAAAACCTTTATTGTCAACTATTATAACTGAAAACTAATTTCATTTCGAGGGACAACAGTGGATCTATCAAAAAATAGTTCACTTGAAGGGATAACTAATGCATATGTTAAAATAAAATAATTGTCATGTGTATGGTTTTGTTTTGTAAAATTGTTAGTATTTTGTATTTTTTTCAAGCCAAAACTTTTGGAGAGAAAACAATTAACAAATGTTATTAATCAGGAATAAGCACATTTATCGAAATATTTACTGGGAATCAGAGATGCTAGGACTGACGAGGTTCTTTAACCTCGGTGACAGTGTAGCTAGTGGGAATACACAGAGTATAAATCATTGGCGTTACCGGTACTTCAGACTGCATACTGGCAATCCTTTATTAGCAATCGATCGCCCAAACTAATAAAAATGATATTAAAAATGCGGTATGTAATCCGAATAAAAATATTGATGATCGTTTCGCCTGTCTAAGCTTTAATATCCCCTCGTGTCGTACAACTACGGATACAGGACCAGGTACCGTCATATGAAACGGCACACGTGCGTGTCTTCCTGTTATATAATACGGCACGAAATGATGAGTAGAATGCACCAGACTGGGTTAACTGTGTTCTCCGTTTTATCATACGACTTGTGCAATAGAATACATAATTCGGGTGGAGCAGGAATTTACAAATAGATTACCACAATCAATCCAGCTTAAAACTTCGTATAATGGAAATGTTTTTCTTGAGCATTGCAGTGTGACTAATTTGCCTTTTAAATGTCGTATTCGCCAGCAGTCATGAGGTTTAATGTGGTTTAGGGTAGCGGACATTTTGAGGTATTCAAATATCCACACGATGGAGCCGGTACAGGGCACGGCGTGTCACCATAATGTGTGGAGAGGAACAACCAAAATGTAAAAAATTGTCCCAAAGAAATTTAAGTAGGTAGCTACGCAATATGTAATACAACGGACAAAGACTGACCGATTTCACTAGTTTACTATCGTGGCTGTTTTTATATAATGTTTTGCCTGTTCTGTATACATACATCTTATGCTTGAGCACGGAGTCGGCGACACAACAGTATTAAATTGCAGCATGTTTTATTTGTGCTCTAGCTATAAGATCTAGAACTATGTTTTCATGTCCCAAGCTTATCATGTTTGCTTAGTGTGGTAAGTGGTCCCTCAATCAGATTCATCAAAAGACGAACTGTTGTACAATCTATTGAAGTGTCCAGAAAATTACTCCCGTACGTGTTTGATTCTTGTTTTATGTTCTAAATTTCACGGTATATGATCCGAATGCTTTAAATGTTTTAAGTTCAATTGCATCACGTTTTGAGCCCAGCCATGACCCATGCTGCGACAGCAATGAGTTTAGTCCATACGCTGTCACATAAAGTCAAATGTTATTTATTTATTAAACTTCAAAGACATGCAGAGAAATGCAATTCAAGTTCATAGAAGGAAAATGACATTTCTGACATCTGCGACAAATGCAACTTTTTATTTCAGCTGTCTAGTTTGAACAGAAGTTAAGACATCATACACATGTATACTGGAACATCTGCATGATTTACATATTCTAATAATTTGTTGTGTCTAAATGAATTTTATGTTCATAGTCGTAAAACTCATATAAATATATTTATAATTAATTGTGCCTAAAACGCCGACAGATTGCATGATGTGCTGTGACACAGGTTATCTGATGTTTTAAGCGTTTGGAAAACTTCCAGCTAAGAAACCAAAACCCTTCGATCAACAAACTACATAAGTCAACTAAAGAGGCGATATTATACAGTGAATATAAATAACAAACATAAAAAAGCCATGAGTATTATTACATAGTCAGTATCAGACAAGTGCTTATTTTACTTACAATATACGTAAGCAACATGAGTATTATTGCATAGTCAGTGTCAGACAAGTGTTTATTTTACTAACGACAAACAATATTCATAAACAACAGGTGATATGGTTATTACGGTTACAACTTAATTGGGTACATCATGTTAAACATGATTTATATAGAATGGGTTTTAATCATATCTGGGATGTTCAATATGTTCAAAGTGAAAAAAGCTGTATGGAAATGTATACTCAACGTCTGCATGACATATTTATTCAAGAATTACATGATGCATTCGAAACATCTTCTAAATGTTATTTATATAGGCATCTTGTCGATACTTTTAATATCCAATTCTATTTAGCAAAGCCTTTAACTTCTATTACCAAAACATTGTTCAGTCAGTATCGCATGCAGGCGCATTTCCTTAACATCGAATCTGGACGTTATAATGGGGTTCCGAGAGGTCAAAGAATATGTTTAGCTTGCGACAAATATGATATAGAAGATGAGATACATTTTATTCTTATTTTTCCTGCTTATTCTATACTGAAAAACACATACATTAAGCAATATTACTACCGACGCCCCAGTGTGTAGAAATTAATTGAATTATTGTCATGTAAAAAATATTAAAAAAGTTACGTAGATGGGGTATTTATTTAAAATATGCTACCGCCAAAAGAAAAACCCTCGTGCAGTAGTATTGCTAAAGTATGTATTCTTTTTTATGTGATAAATGCTTATATGTAATTGTCCTCCGCCATATTGAAAATTAAAACATGTTTTGTGTTCTATGTATACATTAACCTATAGGCTGTGTTGCATTCGGAAATATAAAAAAAAAATGAAAACTTGATTACATACAATCAATTTGTGACACTGAACTTTATAAACAACATACGTAAACAACAGGGGAATATTACATATTGTTATTGTAGAAGGCTATTAATCATCCATACTAAAGCATGTTTTATTATCATATGTAATGAAGTACGTTTTGACAACTGTGTTAACATTGCATTGTCAAATAAAAATATATCAGTAGGAACAAGTTAAAAGCCAGTTTTATCCAAAAAAAGGAATTTTAAGTCAGAAAGATAATTCCTTTTAGTGTGAGAACGTTATATAACGGGTTTGATTGCTCAATAACAGAACAAACGTTTCACCATGTATCATATCCTGTGTAGCCGTTAATGTTATTTACTATTTCAATAATGAGGATGAGATTTTGGTCGATCCTTTGAATCATTAAAATGCGATTGAAATATTGCATTATTAAGTAATTCAGATGTCACCGTTCCAACTTGCCATCTTGAGTATGTTTTACTACGTTGCATGAGAAATTATTCATTCATACAAACAACGTTTTGTCACGACATAATTAATGGACGCCTGTAAAAACAATATCACGAGACGAGATGTTCACTGGTTACGAACCACACGACATGTTGCAACTCCGTAGGCAGCAATACTCGTACACTTAATTATTGATGGCGGAATGTCAAGGTCGTCTGTAGTATTACAAAACGAAGCGAGTGCCAGTTGATCCGATCCTTCTAAGCCTTATTGTC